GAACGAAACTACTGTGAAGGAAAGAGAGAAGTTGTACATCACTAGATTGCACAACTGTAACATCAGGAATAATGAACAGGAGAGATGAAGAAAAGTTAATTTTGCAGTGTCTCACGATTGTTGAGATCCGAAAAAGTTGTAGAAACGAAAAAGTCCATGAGTGAGATGCCGGTCCGGGATCGCATTAGTGAGGTATCGTAATGAAAAGAATAGTATTCAATGAAGATCCCAAATCCACGATAGCAAGGGTCCAGAAGTCACCACGCAGGGGAGGCTCTTCATGCAAACACCCACCATCCAGCGAACACAAGACCAACGAGTACACCAACTGCACGAAGAACCAAGACTACGAGCAAAGCCTTGCGAACCGCAGCGTAGAATGTATTCAGTGCCGTGCCCGACCAGTTCACCCTGAAAATTGTTTCATTAAAATTAAAATATACCAGATTCCAATGGAAACGTCAAGTACCGTCGGACATTGGAGCCTCCATCGCGTACACTGGCTTCCCACCCACGTACAACTTCGCGATAACGCTTTCCAAAGACCCTGAAGGAATATCACTTAGTTGCCCATGACCAATATTAAAAGTAGACATACCAAATCCAGAAGTTGACATCCGGATAAGAGAAACGAGGGAAAACACTTGCTAGGCTGGGTGCGACAGCATCAATGCGCATTCCTTCACCCCCTACAGGGTGGAAAGGGAGGTGCAGACTAGGCAAGGCAACTTTGTGCAGATCTTGAGATGTGGGCTGTTTATTGAGACCGGCAGGAGAGGGAAGCGAAGTGGGTGGTATCATAGTCGCCATCAAGTCGAGCGTCATGCCAAGGGAAAGACCCCACAACTTGAGTTGGTGCCGTGACTTATTTCGGTTCTTCCCAGAAAGTGGCTTCGTAGCTGTAAATCCTTTTTCGAGCTTGTCCTGCGTCAGTGGGGGATACGATCTGCTATTTTGGAGTGCTGCAGGGCTACCTGTGGATGAGCCTGATATCGCGTCGGACTCCGGAAGATCGAGTAATATGGCAGGGAACTGCATGCTGCCTATGAGAACTCTAACTAATATTTTCAAGATAGCAGCGCGTCGAGGCGTCAGCCTGGACGCAGCATCCACAGTCACGCTGGACCATCTGCTCTTTGCGTTCATCTTGTCACCTATATGTCCTGGTAAAACTGCACTAGCAAGAGTCGCAAGCGGCACCCAGTGGATGGTGGTCCCGTCCGTTGGGTCGGTGGGGAGAGGATTTGGAGTGAGCTGCAGGAAGACGAAAGGAGACAGAATCATGAGGAGTCGCTTCCCCAACGATGTAGTGATCTCTCTGTCATCGAGTTGACCTATACAAAGAAAGTCACGCTCTGCAAGGTCCAAGCCAATCTCCTCCCATGTTTGACGCATGGCTACCATGAGGTCAGGAGTGAGATAAAGTCAAGAAAGTAGATGAAACGCATATACCTGTATAGAGACCTCCTTCATCTCCTTCTTCAGTACGTCCGCCGGGAAAAGCAACGTGAGCTCCAGCCTTGCCGCTGCTTTTCCAAGTCCCATCGCCAGTGAAGTTCTGGAATGCAGATGCACGCCCTGGAACTGCATCAGAGGGACCCGCACCATCGCGTCTCAAAAGAAGAAATTCTGGGCACGCGAGAGGGTCCTTGACCCAATCTAACTCGAAGAATTGATTTAAAGTGGGTAGAGGAGTGTCAGCCGCCACCGGTATAGTGTTGGGGGGAGGTACGACACGGATAATGATAGCAACAGCGGCCCGACGAGGCTCTGTGGGATACAAATTCGTGACAGGTCAGAAGATACAGAATACAGAATTCCAAGAGAAAGATCGTACGACTCACGAGTTGCTGGCGAAGCGATTACTCGGGGAGGCGTTGTGCGGATTCGGTGAAGAGCACACGACAACAAACGCACCACTGAGTCCGGTTTTTCTGTGATAGTTTGGGTGTGAGTAATGAGCATTATTTAATTACAAGACCATACCCTGTGCCATTTCGTTACAATACTTTACAGGTCCTCCACAAAACTAGTAAACACTAGGAGGTCCGAGTCAAAACACTTCAAACACTCATGATGCCAAAAAAGGACATCCGCCACTCCGTACGCCGAGACACCTGCCACCCTGTTCCAAGGAGAAGCGCTCATGCACATGAGTTACATACTGCACTGACTTAGATCTAGGCAGACTATATTATTATCCGAATTGGAAAAGCTCTTCAAGAAAGTTCTATTTGCCACAGGATAACATCATGTAGATCGCAGATGGAGATAATTCTGCTACAGATCGCACAGGCAATTCAAGCCAATAATAATCCTCAGCGACTCCTCGCGACATTGAGGATCATGGGGACAAGACCGTAGCTGCTCGTGCCACGTTACAAGCTGCGTAGGATGCCCGATGGTAGCCCGAGCTAAATATTGTGCTATACCAAGACATAATGAACTTGGCGTTAATGCGTAGATAGAGACCTACAGTGTCTCCACGAGTCATAATCAATCGATAACGGCCGTGCACCGCTCCAGTCTCCAAGTGGTTTGAATAGAACCCGGTATCACATCTGATCGATGATCTGTAAGGCCTTGGCAGAGCCTTGGCCTAGTTGTCATAGGCCGTTGTTGCATGCGAACAGGCTGCAAGCTGAGCCGCGAAGAGAAAAATGGAAAAGGTCAACTAGATCGGTTAGTATCCAACTTGAAGGGGCCGGAGCAAGGTGGGAAACGTATCAGCTAAGATTCAGCTTAATTAGGTGTGTGACGGGGACGTACTATAGGTCTATGTCAACTCACCACTTCCGACTCTTTCCTGCTCTTTCTTGTTACTTACATTCACACGTCCCTAGTATAAAGGATAGTGTTTCCTATAAGTTTCCGCTATTCAAGCGATCTTCGCCTCCAGTTTCATTCAAGTTAATAATCGCTCTTTCGCTCCTAAGCTAGAACACCAGGCGAAATGGGGATGAAGTACCGTCGTTATCTGGCTGGCGAGCGCATCTATGGCTGCTCCAAGTGCAAGACCCATCTTGCAACAATCCACTCTATGATTTCACGAGTGCGTCACCACTCTCATCCTTCGTCTCCAGGTCTAGCGTGTTGATGCGGGCTTTGTCAGGCTTTCAACGGCCAACATGGCCGCGCATATCTCTTCGATGGAGTGTGAGCTCTGAGTTCGTACTAACATCGACGCTCATCTCACCGTCCCGATTCCAGTGTTAATGTCATAGAAGGCGAACCAAATGACCGCCAAATGACCACAGGCAACCATACTGTTCGGGATATTTATTGCGTCAAATGTGCCACCGTCCTCGGCTGGAAATATGTACGTCGTGACATCTAGACATTTCATTGCATAGTCCACCTCATATCTTTCTTTTCTCGTTCAAGGATCGTGCATACGAACAATCGCAGCAATACAAGGAGGGCAAATATATACTTGAGCGAAATCTTCTCGTCGATGTCCAGTAGCCTGAAGTGCCTCGGTCTTCCATCTACCTGGCTACCACACAACTCCAACAACACGACGCACGATTACAAGGACCCAACGGCACATCATATTTGTCGACCACTCGTTGATCGTCCTAGCACCACCACTGTAACATCATTTCCGTCTTCGAAACTCATCCAGGACTGTCAATTTGTTGCTTAAATCGTTATATACGTAGAGCAGATGCAGATGGCAGATGCAGAAGGGTTGGCGGAGGCATTCCACCATCAGTCATCATCCTGCCTCAGCCATCGCCGTTCGAATCTTCTTCTGCACGAGGCACGAACCACGCAGCTCACGCATTGTGTGCCTCCTATCGCGCCATCTTGCATCGTGCCACTATGATCCTCTTTATGATCTCCGCAGTCACACGAATCCAAGAAATGTATTCCGTGCCCTTCTGTCTCCCTCCCTCGAAACTTATTGTGTACTTACTATCTCATTGCATCCTCATTTAGTCTCCTCCTTAATCATTTTTTTTCAATGTGCTTATTTAGAAGCATGGCATATCCTATTCTCAACACACATTTCAATTCCGTATTACTCGTTATCAAGAGTCGTGTATGGAAATGTTCCAAATTATATCTCACCCTAATATCAATGCATAGATCATTATTCTGACAGGCAGTGATAGAACTAGAGCCGTTCTTTATGTGCCTCAAATCAAACCGCGCTCTAGTACCAGCGGCGTTGTACCAGGCCGACCTCGGGCATGCTAATATGTTTCCACGAAGGATGCAGTGATCGGAAGAACTTGTACTATTCTGTTCTAAGTATGAAACATTCCCCAGTGCTTTGTAAATGCGGTGCCATGAAACAATCATGGAGTTAGTGCACTGCGGTCACACGGGAACTGGGTAGCAAGTGTTTGGACAAGTGGCAGGTCAAAAGCGCGTCTGTTGTCCGACTGTGGCCTCACAGCCAGCTTGTGCCACCAATTATAGGGTAAGGGTGTAGGCCTTAGGGTTCGTACGTACGTAGCTTGGCGAATACGCGAAGCCGTGGAAGCCTCTGGAGCGATTTCACGCGGATGACGGAAGTGAAAACCCTCAGTACAGGTGCGTAATGGCTGAGTTGGGGGCACGCCATCGAGACGCCTCGTATGCTAGATCATGCTGGGAGTACGACCAGCCGCAAGTTGGTCATTACTACCGGTTTGAGCTAGTCTCTTATCACTGTGGGGAGATTGATGTCAGTAAGAGAGTAGTTTATTTTATTAAAGCGTTAGCCACTTGAGCAGACGGCGTACTAAGTGCAAGCCGCCTGTGCACATGGGGTAGATAACCGTTGGTGGAGTCTCAAGCTAGTGGACCCAAAGTTTTGGTCATGGTCAGCTAAATTTTACTATCAATGGTAGATCCGCCTGACCATGCTGCGAAAAATCGGTATTCATGATTGCAAGTACTTTGGGTTAAGCAACAGCTGAACAACATGAATAGTACAATCTGAGAGTTGTTGCTCACTTTGGGGTTGTCACGCGGTATTGGGTAATCTAAATTTAGGCAATCCCCAACATGTCGTCGCTAATAATATGGGTTGGAGTTCTCTGCATTCCATCCCCACAGGATTGCAACAAAGTATATAAATACCAGTAAACGACAGCCACGTCCGCGACGCGACGTCTCCACAATCTTTCACCAGCTAGGTTCTCCTTTCACCCTCAAGTACTCTTCCAACTTCCAGTACAAGTTCAACCGCCTGCCCTACGGTTCTCACAAATTTTCATCCGCTCTGTTCAACGTAATGCGTATGTTCAAACCTTTGACTACTATACATAGCTGTGAACTGACGTTTTTCACAGCTGCAATGACCATGTCTGCGGTACACCCTGTCCTGAGAGCATCATCTCCGATGCCATACGCTTCTTCACCCCTTGCTGCATCATCTCCGATGCCATATGTTTCTTCACCCCTTGCTGCATCGTCACTGAACGCCCCGTCTGGCTCGTCGAGAGCGTCGCCTATGCGACCATCATTCCCTCACTCTCGCCCTTTGCGACCATTCGTTTCAATATCACAAAACACCTCGTCGCGTTCTTCAAAAAAACCTGTCAAGTTCATAGAACCACCAAAGAACTCCAAGACAGTCTTTGTACTTGACTTGACCCAGGGAGAACTGAGCAGGCAGGATTGAGCCTGCGCGACGCGTGCGGTACTCTTGCACTAGACTGATGAGTGTGCCCTAGAGCCATAGATCGACCACCATTTGGCGCATTACTCCAAACCCTTTCCGACCATGTTGTATGATTGGTGGCTTCTTTTTAGTTGAGGTTTTTTTTATCTCGGTATATAACTCATTCCGACACGCGTGCAGAACTGCACACTAGCATACAATAGGTTCCTTCTACGCAATATTTCCTTTCCCCAACTTGCCTTTATCACGATGCGTGCCATTCCATGTTCCACACCTGTTCAACATTATGCGTATCATTCCACGTTCCACACATACTTCCACCTGTTCCAACTACGCATACCTTATCACAATGGGAAGTTTGTTCGTTTGTCTTATCTTTCGGGGGCGACAGTATCTCAACTGAGCCTCTTTCCCAAGTCACATTGGGCGAACTACGGCAACCTTTCAAGAAGGCATCCATATTCTTCCTGATCAGTGCTTAAGTATAATTGTCACCTGCTTTACCACGGTTGACTTTTTGACAAGCTTGGCTTAATTGCTCACAGCGCTTCAGCGAGTTTATTTTGATAGCAGTGAACAACTTTCCCCTCTTGCAATACATCACATGTGAGCTAACCCTTAATCCTCGGAAGAACCATCGCGCATTATCTGAAGAACACTGATACAGGTATCACTCCGAGGGATGCGTGGAATCTCCTGCGAAATCCAACGTATGTGCGGAAATAGAGCTTTTCTGCATCATATCAGATATCCGAGTCAGTCCGGATATTATAAACCCCCTCCCCTTTTTTTCAGACAGGGACTCGAGAATGATTCAGAATCCACTGTAGCGCAATCACTTGGTCTGGTGACGATATACCAAGTGACTACCTACTCTGGAAGCTGCGGTAAGTAGTCGGCAATATTATAGGCTTGGCGAAGCGACATCGGCAGGAGCTGACCATGACATGCTCTACCTCTGACCTACGAGCACACAATTACCAATGATTTCCCCGTCTTGCGTTGCTGACCCCATATTCATCACCCATTCCCGATCAAAGTTCGAACTGCGGCTTGCGGTGCTGCGGGACCTGGGAAAATTCAACTGCGACCTCTGAACCACGAGTACAAAGTCATTTGGCAATCATATCTGACAACTGCTAACACCATATTTGGCACCCATCAAAATCTGATAGACAGCACGGCAAGAACGTATCGGTTTTCATGATCGCCCCATCCCGTCCTGACTTATTGTTCTTGCTTTCCAGGGAAACACTATCGCCGCTCATACACCCTACCGAAGAGGAGGCGAATTCGCAAACTTTTCGACTGGATCGTTCACTTGATGGTTCTCCTTACTCAATTCTGACACCGTACGTACTCCGCAATCGGAAATCCACATGACTCATACTGAGTTGACCAGTGAGCCAATCGTTCCGAGACCGCCGTTCGTCGTAGACGTAATGAAGGGAGAACACCTGAAGGTCTGGTCGTGGCTTTGTTTCAACGTTTTCAGTTATGCAATCTTCCTATCAGATGGGGTCGCACCGTGGGCCGGGATCAATGGGCGCGCCGGTATACTGTAGCTGGATCCGAGTCTGGTCCTTTACTTACGTTCTTCATTTATGCAGGTAAGGGTATGACAACATCTTATCATGTCGAGATTCGAGAAGATATTATCTATAATCAGTTGCCGCTCGAAGAACACTATATATACCAGACGCTCGAACAAGGCACAATGTCCCTAATCAGTGAACGTCTGGACGGGTATTGGAGAGATTTGGAAACGGGCTGTCTGGACCAACCATTACGTTTCTTCCGTTCGATTCAGAGCGTACTCCATGGACACGCGCAGAAGGCGTGTCGTCATAATTCCTTCCTTCCAAAGAAGTGATCGGAAAAGGGATCCCGAAGCAACCTGTAGTCGTTTCTTCAGTTGTACCAAAATTCATATGTTTGTGCGCCAATCATTACCTTCTTTTCTTCCGACCCAAAATAATTTTCACCCTTGAATACAGACAGCGACAAAAAAACTGAAACTTAACTTTACGACAACAGTGAAAGTTTCGGAAGAGGGCGAGCCAATTGGGCAGGAGATTGGTTGGTATTGTTATTCTTACTTCCCACTTATCTCTGTTCTCGCTGGCTAAGGCACGTCTTAGTTCTGGGCACTGGCAGCTCGTGGGGTGAGGGGACAGACGAGTGAAATCCACGATCCCCGGAGCTGATTAGCGCCCACTCCTGAGTCCTGACATGTCCGAGTCCAGCCTCGTGCCGCCGGGATCAACGTCGATGTTCCAATTAGGATATTTAGCCTGATGTGAAAAGAGTTCGGCATAGGTGGAGCAGAGCTGAGCAGAATTACGATGAGTGTCGGAAATGTCGATCGACGACAAATGCTGCTGCAGTTTCAGCGTGATTATCGATTTAAAGCGGTGGCTTTATCACAGTTATCAGTCCTTCAAATTGGATGCTGTTGCAGGAAGCCACTTGAAAGAGCCCCCAGGCTGGAGCTATGCAATGCCTCAACTATCTACCGGATGTGCAGCACCCAGTGGTATCAGCAATGAGACAGAATCAGACTCGCTTGCTCGCCATCTATCGCAATACACGTGTCAGAAGTGCAACTCGAGCGCGATTGTTCCCATCTGGTGAGAATCACGATGACTAGACGGGGATGACACCGTCGGATAAGATCGAGCACCCGCAGTACGCCAGGCATGATCTCTCCGTAAATTAGCCGATGAGTCAGCCTGATGACCGTGACAATACTCTGACACGATGCACTTTGTCAGAGTTCATCAGACGTCCGTGAAACCTAGTGAGCTTCGATCTTTTTAGGTGGCCCGAGCAAGTGAGTATCACCATATGAAGGCTTTCTTACGGAAGAAAAAGCTGATTTTAGGTGCCGAAGGGTGTTCGAAAAGTTTATAAGGTTTTTACACATTCAATTAACTGGTCGGGGGCCCCATATGCGACAAATTCGTCGCCGCATGTCATCACGAATAAGTTAGACCCGAGAGCATCGTGTCGTGACGACATGAACATCACGTCTGAGTTACGTGGCTGAAACTCGGATGGGAAAGTTTCATCGGCCTGGTTCTGCGTCAGAAAGAACACGGGGTGGATTTTGTCATCGATGACGATAAGTGCGTCTTTACCGTGTATTCGTTGAACCACACTTGGGAGACAAGTACTTTGGCGAGGCTTCCATGCACCTCGTCAGGTGCTCTGTCGAGGATGTTGATACGTAATGTCCCATGGTGGCGGTGGCGCAATCGTATCGTAAAGTCCATGTGAAGGACGGAATCAATACGACCGCAACTTTGGCCTTGACTCGTGGCAGCCTCTGAACACTGTACTGAAGGCGAGAACACACGACTATTAGTTCCAATAGTATCTCAACGTCATCTGTATACATATACCGCATCAGAACTTCAACTTCAAGCTTCAGCGCTCAGGAATTGTATCTGTGAGCGCGGTTCTCCCCTTCGATCTGGTCACGCGACACGAAGTTTTGACGAGCGCCTATTGAGCGTATATTTTCTAAATGCAGCAGTTCGGCAGTTCGGTTAAAAGTCACTTTTTCCGACCTGACAATAAAAGAAAGACAACGCTGTGGTTTGTTGATCGTCGCGGGAAGTTACAGGGGTCGCCCAGCTTTGATGGCGTTCCTTACCCTCGCAGATCAAGTTGGATTATTTGGATGGGCCGCGGCCAAAGATGGCCCTGAATTTTGTGGCTCCAAGGCCCTAACTCAATCTCCCTACGGAACAGCCCCAGATGGGGGCTCAGTGCTAGAACACGTAGGTAAATCATAAGAGGAGCTGAGCGCTGAGATGCGGAGGTCAAATGATAGCCGGACGAGAGGCGCATCTCCAAGAGGTACTTACTGTCAATTGTCAGTCGAGGGGCTAATTAAATGGTGGACGGGAACGATAAGCCAGGCCATGTATGGTTGTCTGACGGCAATTAATTAGGTCGACCGCAATTGTCGAATACCTCTTGACACTGCTTTTAAGGGGACATTCGATTTAAGAACATTGCTTTGTAAGGGTGGATGGAGATGTCCGTAGGCGGTGATGTAAATAAATATAATATAAACTTTAAAATTATATTATATGATAAGTATTTTGATGTAAATTTATGGAGTACTTGGAAGGACAAGCCAAGAGTCGTACATCAACGCAAGTTTCTCTTCTCTCCGCTTCCTACTCCTTTCTCTCTCTAAGTCTCAAAGTCCTTTTCCGCGCCTTTCTTTACGACCATATACGATCTGCACGACTTCCGAATATTCTTCCTTCTCTCAATCCTCATCTCTTAAGGTATCCCTATATACTTGGCACTTTCTCCGGCTTCAAACTCCATTTTCGGCTTCTCAAGGTACACATCCCCTGTACCCTCTCTGACAACTATAATTCACCTCTGACAACAGAACTCCTGTTCTATCTCTTTTGATCACACTCAAGGTATTCCTTCTTCGCTTGCTTCCATCTCCATATTATCCCTAATCTATCATTAATAGCTATGGATAGCTGGAGGGTTGCTGTGCTTGGCGATGGTGGTGTCGGTAAAACTGCTTTGGCTGTTCAGGTCGGTCCTCATCACTATTGTTACCCATCCACGCCTCATGTTCCCCTCTAGTTCACTCTCAATTGTTTCGTTGGTAAGCCCAACCAACTACCATGTACTTTCTACTGCAATCTAATGGCCTCGACCCTTCCTCCCATATTATGGTACAGAGGTATGTGTTCTTGTTCACCCTCGTATCAATTGACTCATAGTTACTCACAGACTTACGACCCGACAATAGAAGACGCTTATAGGAAGCAGTTAATTGTGGATAACAAGATGTGCTTCGTCGAAGTCATCGACACTGCTGGGCAGGGTGAGTACTAGTCATTACACATTTGCTATCTCTCTGATGTCCATGCAGAGGAGTACGCCACGCTGCGTGACCAATGGGTTCGGTACGTAATCACTGCGCTGTCTTGTTTTGTCATGTCTCACAATCTCATGTTTAGGGAGGGCCAGGGATTTATTCTGGTCTACTCCATCGCATCTCGGTCAACATTTGAACGGCTGGACGTTTTCAGACAGTCGATGCTCAAAGTTAAGCGCCAAAAACCTATCTTCATGCTGGTGGGCAATAAGTGCGACAAGACATACGAGCGTGAAGTCTCACGTGAGGAAGGCATAGCGCTCGCTCGGACATTTGGCTGTGAATTCATGGAAACATCAGCAAGAACAGCATATAACGTCGAGCTACTTTTCACCAACCTAGTACGTGCCCTACGGCAGACGAAACGATTGGAATCTGGTGGATCAGGGGGGAAACAGAGCGACAAGCAACCAAAGGACGGCGGCAGCAAGAAACCCAAATGCGTGGTTATGTGAAGGACATCTTCTCGGGTTATTGGCGACTTAGATTTCATACTCCCTTTACCTCTGTTTGATGATACCTCCACGATTATTCTGCTTTGTTCTTTTCGCTCGCTTTCGGGCTATCATGGTTTTCTTCTAGCTACAATATCACACGTCCCACACCTCACGCTGTGACTTACGCGATCTAGTCCGCGATGTATTTTTCAATGCACTGGCAATTTTCTGGTACAGGTTGACAGGTTTGATGAATTTTGTTCCTGGACTACGGAATTGCTGTGGTCAGAGTCGGACATTCCCACTGCCGCTCATTCGCGTGTTTACGGTACGTCAACGGACACGAGTGCAAAAACGTTGCACGTTGGTACACTATAAAGGATATATACAAGTAGGTGGAGGACATGCACTAATCCTGGATATGACTAGCGAAAACATCAGCGGTACAAGCTATGCCGATTCCAGTACTTGTGGCCCACCAACATTCCACGTGCGCTCACTGCCTGATGGCACAGAGTTTCAAGTGAGCCGCCACGTTATTGAAACATGCGAAGTGTTCCGTACGTATGTCCCAGCCCATCTCGTATTCGAATTAATATGTATGACCTTAAAGGGAATATGTTTGCATGCTGTGATCACGGAGTGGGTGATAACGACAAGCCTAGGCCCCAGGAAGCAGTTCTCCACTTGGATGAAACGGAGCATGCTTTAGCAACTTTGTTCCGCCTCATTCAAGAACCCCCCGAACCTCCCCCTACGGAGAACCCAGATGGAGCGAGACCTCGTTTCAAATTGCACGCAGGCTCAATCATCCCGTTCCCGGTTCTTCCGTCCATGCTTCATCTCGCTGATAAGTATGGACTTCCGGAAACGATCATATGTTCACTCCACTTGCACGTCCAAGCCAATGCTTCAATTAACCCGCTCCCCGTTTATGCATATGCTACAGCACATGACTTGCCCAAGATTGCAGCAGAGGCAAGCGCCCACCTCCTACATCCCCCACTATCGTCGTACACCAAAGAGGATATACAAATTATTCCCACTGTCACCGCATACCATGAGCTTCTGAGGCTCCATGAATACCGGAAATATAAACTACGAGATATCCTGCTCAATGAGGACATATTTCTGCACGGATACGGCACTTGTCCTGTGCACAAGCAGTGGGCCACTCAGCTCTGGGAGCAGAAGCGGGTGTACCTGGCCACCCAAATCGAAGCAGGTATGCAGATCTTGTACGCATCTCAATCACACTTACTGACGGATGAAATACAGCCACTGATATAGCAGGGGAGATGCATGACTTGGCTGCCCAGCTTTCGTCTTGTCCCCTGTGTCAGAAAGCTCTGACAGCTGCCGTAGATATGCTTCAGGTACGGAAAGAGGAAAAGCTTATCACAACGAGACCATTCTAACTTTGAAGCATGCAGTACAAATGTCGGAGAGTGGCAAGAACTGTAGATTACGTGCCGCAGGGTTACTGGCTCGATGCAATCTTATAAAGAATAGGAGGATATGGATATCTGGATGACACAGTGTAAGATAATACGCGCATGCGTAAAGGAGTCTGGACTCACCGTCAAAATCTATCATCCCTCTACGTATTATGCCATAACAATGTCCTAAGATCAGTCCATACCTCGGAGTCACGGTAAAGGTATGTCATCGAGTTGAACATGCCAGGTTGAATGGCTTCTCCGCGGTGCTGGAACAGCCACATGACGGCACCCCATGATAGAGCCGCGAAGACAGAGAAATACCGCGGGTCTGGCGGGATAGGTTTCACCGCAGATCCAGACGCGCCTGCAGGCGCTTTCGAGTACGGACTACCTGTGCGTGGCATGAACGAAGCAATGACCCGGGATACAACGTAAAGGACTATCTAAATGGAAAGCCAATGACTTCAACAGGACTAGCACGGACGAGAATTCATTTGAAGTACCTGTTCGTTCACGGCTGATCGATCGCCGAAGACCACGTACCCTCCCAATAAGCCAGCCACAAATGTATCCGCGCTACGCTGTTTCCCTCCGTTTGCCTTTCGTTGAAGTAGCAACAGTGTCTTGTAGAGTGAAACAAACTTTGCTAGGTTGAAGGCGTGCTGCTTGGTTGCTTTGTATATAACAAGAAAGCGAGATCTCCAGCTACAGGAGGACAGTGGTCCAGCAGTGAAGATGATTCCAAGTGCAGAGAAAAACGTACTCTCCTCGACCAAAGAGAATGGCCATGATCAACGCGTGAGGGAATCTGACTTTGACTCCGTACACAAAGCCATTACGTGCACCTTTTACGATGGCAAGGTAGTCGTGTATGCGGGGGTCTAACAGCCACTGGGTAACGCTGGACATGGTTGTGTGCCAGCTAAAGACATGGGCCGGGTTTCTTAAAGGAATCACTTGCGTGCCCTTGCGGACCGGCGGTACAATCACATGTAAACTGAGATTCGTACACGATTGTTGAACGTTCAACTTGAAGGACATCGACTACATGACTAAACTATGGTACATAACGACATGACTAAAATCTATGATCCAAGAAAGTAATCATCCTTAAATGCGAAGTTTGATAGCGAAGACCACTCGAGCTACAAGTCAGGTCAGTAGACGCCGCTGATGGAAAAATCACACTACATACCCCCGATCCGCCTTCAGGGAGGCTGCGAGTTTCCTCGGATGCAGCTCTGATGACCACAAATCGGCGGTAATTGTCCATGAACTTAGGCTGCAGCTCCATATTGACGAGATCCTGAGAAATCTCCCGGTCCGCTTCAATCAGGATGTCAGATTCACTGCAGTGAGCGAAGCGCTCTATTGAGCTTTTAACGCATTCTCGCAGCATATCTTCTACTTCCAACAATTGCTGCTCAAGGGTTTCGACAATCCAGGCGTCATCATTATGTTTGGTAGGCGCTTTCGTGACAGAGATGCTGCCTGCGTCTGCCAGGTCCAGAATGGGAAGAAGGCACGAATCCATACTTGAGATATGTTCTTAGTTCAAGGATAACGGTACAGGAGCATCACACTCACCTCATAATTTCTGGAACTGGCTTATCCTTGCCGCATGCCAGGGCATGACTCAAACCCACAATCGAAGGTATCAGGTAACATTCCCAGAGGGGATGCTGCGCGAGGTTACGCATCAAACTATGACATCCAATAGGATCTTCGGCGATAGCCAAAGGCGTGAAGGTGACAATACCACCTTTGAAGATTGTCAGTGACACCGATCGCCCTGCTTTGCAAATACTCACCCAAAGGGAAAATCTCGCGCATGCCCCACCTGCTGGACGGAACAGACTCATGTGTGCCGTAAGTGAAAAAGCGAACTTCAGGCGCGTCGCGCCGCTTGGTGACCACAGCAGAAAGCTCGTGAAAAGTCTTCAGGGCTCCGACATGAATGAATATTACCCGAGCTTCTGCGTCAAGGCTAACTGACATAGCTTTGGTCTTGTCCAGTACGTATTTAAGTTGTCGGGTCTCAAAACCAGGATTCAATGCTGCTCCGTCGGCTGGGAAGGACCAGATACAATATTTCCTGTTTGGAAACTGCATGAAATCCAAGAGCTCGCGTGGAATCGAAAGCAGATCGATAGCCATGGCAGCCTCTCTTAGTATGCGACGACGGCTGTCTTTCGATTGACCACTCGGAGTCGATAGCTGCTGTATGGTTTTATCGACCCGGTTACGCGTCGTTCCTTTGATGTATTTGGTAGACGAGATCAGCCATGGCAACAGGGCTACCAAAACATGGGTGTTCTGCGAATTTTGTCGTAGATGCTCTGGTACGCGCAAAAACCTACAAAGGGCATCCAATGATGGGCTGAAAATAAAGAGCAGAGCAAGTTCTGCACCATCCAACGACAGCGGGAGAACAGCAACCTTTGCCTTCTGTCAATATAGACCATCAACGGAAAAAAGGACTCACCTGTCGCTGAATTGACATGTAACGAAACAGTCCGTGCAGTGCCTGACTATCTTGATTTTCCAAAGCTTCAAGTTTGGCAAATTGCTGAGCTTCTCCACATGCACGAAAAACCGGTGCGAGATCCGTAACATTGTAGAGTTTTTGGATGCGGATGGAATTAGTTTGCGCCATCATGAAGCTCATGCGAGCACCGTTATCGTGCGAATCAGTCGCATCCTTGATCGTCACTTCACAAACTTTCTTGGCTTGGTTCTTAGCAAAGTCAACAAATAGATCACCCTCCCATTTCCACTTTTTGGGAATCCTATTCGAAGATTAGAACACTTTTCATATTCGCGAGTAGCACCACAAACTTTGGCATCGCAGAAGCTTTCATCGTTGTTAAAGCTTTTGGTCGGAAGCAATCAATGTCCTGGGTGCCATCGCTGACTGGAGGCTCCCTGAACATTGTTGTGAGCATTTTAGTGATTGAAAATAATAAAACAAGACGCACAAAGGACTATTGAGACTTGGCATGCATGTCGTGAGCGCAAACGAATGTGAGTAGCCTAAGATACATACCTTGGCATATTAAGACTAAGACTTTGAAGAAACTCGTCTGCGGCCTTTTCAGGGGCTCGCTTAGGGGGAGCTGGATTCGCGAGTTGATGCTGAATACTAAAAGGCCATCAAATGGATATGTCTGATGATACGCGAGCGCACTTACAGAGGTGCAGGTGAGGGAAGGGGAAGGTCGTCATCTGCAGCCGTAAACATCTCTGTATTATATTCCCAGCCCGAAACAATGGTAGAGGGCTCCCCTATCATCTGCGGTGTGGCTGAAGACGGGCCAACTCCGACGGGTGTTGTAGTGGAAGGATCAGACGATTCCGCATCAGTCGCCGCAAAATGTTCATTCTCGAAAGGTTCCTCAAAGGAACTAATTGTGGACAAAGGCTCTTTAGTGGATGGACCAGACGGTTGCATACCACTTGCTGATAAAGGCTCGTTCTCGAAAGAATCCTTGAAGGATGGACTAGTTGCAGACGAAGGATCTTTTGCTTCAAGGGGTTTCTTCTTGAATGACAAACCGGTCAGAAGTTTCGGAATTGTCTGCAGTGGCTTCGGCTTGGGTGCTACGGAAGGGCCTGATCCCGCTGCTATACGTTGCTTCGTTGATAGAGTACTCCCAGATTGAACCGCCTTCGAGGGAAGATCTATAGTCTTGACAAGAGGGTTGCTCCTTTGATCTTGGTGAGTCCGAACGGTCTGTATTTTGGGTGGGCGAGGTACATTCACTGATGGTGTGGCAGAAGATGTCGATGGCCTTGGTGGTGGCGGAAGGGGACGAGATGATTGTTCGGTGAACATACTAGGGGAGGAGGCCGCTGATGAGTGTTCCTATAGAAAGCATTGAGGTTAGAATGAAAGAGACGACGACTATTACGGAACCTTGTCTGCTGTAGTGCTCCGCGACTTTGAGTGAGTATATTTCCGCCGCTGTTTTAATGGGCGATCGTCCAATGAATCGGAGTCTGACTACTGTCGCCTAAGCTTCGCAGCACGATGATAAATAAAAGATAGCATACATCTGAACTGATCAGTGTATTGTTACGCTTTTTCCCTCGCGGTGCCAACGTCTTCGCGACCGGAGATCTCCGCTTGAGAGGGATATCGGGCTCTTTTAACCTATGAGTATCTTTCTCGACTTGCTTTGGCAGCTTTGGCTCTAAAGTCTGTTATGTATAATGTGTAAGACAATATATTGAGTATCATCAGGTGAACTCACCTGCTTGATCGGTGGCTTATTCATATCCTTTTCGCTTTTGCGATTTGCTTCTTCTGAGAACTGCGTCGCGAAGAACTCCTTCTCTTGCTCTTCATACAAGTCAGTTGAGCCACCAAGCACAAGGTCAGCCGAGTCTCACCTATCCAATGGTCCTTCGCCGTAATCTCGAATCCGACGGCGTAATCGTCGTCGTCGTCATTACCAACATGATCCCAAAAGCTGCACAAGAGCCGTTCGCATTGTTTCACATTATTTGTTGGCTCCCAACTGCATATTGCATTAGAAAATGAGTTCGTGATCAATGAAAGGGAAACGAATCTGACGTGTCTGCATCGGAGTCGTAGCCTGCCCACTATGAATCATTAGGGGACGCAATCAAACACGTATAGAAACCCACTTTGACATAATATTCCTAGACGACTCGGTTAGATCTTTGTGCGAAGCGCAGTGTTATATACTTACCCAGTCTCCTTCCTCACTGACACGAGCTTTGGTGATAACCTCTACCAGCAAGCATGTGAATAGTGATAGCGATGAAGGACTGAGCTCGCACCGACGTGGTATACCTCCCGCTCGACTTTCTTCTTACGACCCATACAAAGGGAATAGTGAACGAATGTGGACAAGTTGTTTTGATGTATTCGACGTAAGCGCGCTATGATTAGACTCCGCTTTCCAAGTCTGGGGTCCTTCCGACTTGCTTGACTCGCACTACGACGATGACCTCTAAATCAAAGTCAAAGCAGGAAGAAGCTCTTCAATTTCTCGATGATCTTGACTCCCTTAATCCAGTCGCACCAACGACGCGTGGACCCGTTGCTAATACGGACAGCGCAGGAGACCCAGCGGATGTTCTCGCATTCATTGATGAGATAACTCAGAAGAGCTCAGAGCCAACCCGCTCCACGACGTCACATATAGAACGACATGCTTCGCGCCCGGGAACTCCATCACTGAGGAAGAGCACTGAACGAGTTAAAGTCGGTGCTCATCCGTCCTCCTCAACTTCTTCTCTCGTGGCAAGACCAGAACCATCGTCAGCTCCTGTTGCCAAGGCTGAAGCTGAGCCTGCATTGGCGGCTTCCTCAAATCGTTGGGGATGGGGCAGCGTATGGACCAGTGCAAATACTGTTTACCAACAAGCAAGGTCTGTAGTGGACGAGCAGGTCAAGAACCTTCCCAAGAATGAACACATCAGTAAGTTGGGAGAGGGAGTCCTGGAGTACGCAAAGACTGCGCAGCTTGACAAACTTGGTTCGTCTGTGTGTGACGAGTTGATTCAAAGTCGATTAACTTGTACCCTCTAGGACAAGATTTCAAGAAAGTCGGACTGTCTACATTGACAGACATTCTGAATGTAGTTGCTCCTCCTATATCTGAGCACGAGGTCATTCAAGTATGGCTCAGTCATGATATGAAAGGATATGATGGTGTCGAATCGCTTGTATACCGGTCACTCGCTAGGGTACGCACCAAGACATTACGGGTGTCCACCGAGCTGATGTTGTTGCTTAGGTCATGGAACAGGTCGAGGGTGGCGATTTGATTATCAACCGAGGTGTCGAATCAAAACCAAAGGAATCTGCAGCAGGAACTCCTCGGGATTTCAATTCGGTGGACGGATACGATGCTGCTATTAAACTCGCGCAGGTAAGAGGCCAATGCCAAGAAATGTGCACGCGAGATTCACTTTTACGTCCAGGCAAATATAGATGAATTCATCAAGACCAATTCCAAAGTACCACCCAAAGAGTCATCTATTCAGAATCCTGTTACATACTCCTCTGTCTACCTCCGCATCCAGCCATTTCTCACATCTTTCACCCTTCCTCAGCCCGTTGATACTTCAGAGCAGTCCGCAGAAACGCCTCAGCAGTCTAACCTCCAGTTCCTGTTACATCTGTCTGATCCCGGGCATAAGTTGGTGCACACGACTATAACACAGGCTGTGCCTGGTAGTTGGTTGCAAATTTGGGATGATTATGACTGGGTGGAAGATCTTGTAGCCGAGTCTCTCAGGGTAGGCATTGAAGTGATTGGGCAGGACTACATTGTCACACGGATGGGATGGGGTAAGAAGGCAGCCGGGCGCACTACGCCTCAAGAAATGCCCTCTGAACCATCCCCTTGATGTACTTTTCCACTCACATGTTGTTGCCCCACCCATGTATTACCTACCTTACGACGACCGAACACGACTGCACTCAGAGGATAGGAATGTTGTATATGGATATCAATCAATAACGTAGTAACAGTCTACTTCTTTGGAGGCTGTTCGTCTTGAGGTGGAGGAACGGGCTTGAGCTCTGCGGGCCTGACGGGCTCTGTCCCTTGCCCTACTTGTTCCCAGGGTGACAGAGACTCGAAGTTTCTATATATGATCAGGTGATTAGGAAACGCAGGGATCGAGATGATTCCTGACTGACCGGAAAGCCTGCGTCAATTGCAGAGGTTCATAAACGACGCGTTTCCTCTCTTCATCGTAGCGGACTTCAGTGTAGCCCTAAAATGATGATTCTATCATTACGATCAGCGGGTTGTAGTGGTAGCTACGCACCGACAATGGAAAGTCCTTTCGAAGGGGATGACCCTCGAAGCCTAAACAAAATCTATGACAAGTGCGAGTTATTGCATCCAAGAAAACTTACCATAGTCTGTTAGTATGCGACGCCTGTAAATAGAAGGTCAAGACGCCGGTTCATATGGATATAGAACGCGACATACAGGTCGGGGTGTCCAGTAAAGAAGACGCCAAACATGTCCCACGTCTCCCGTTCATACCAGTCTGCTCCACTGAAGACAGAAACGCTGCTAGGTACAGGGTCCGCTTCACCAGCATAGGTCTTGACACGAATCCTCGCCGCATACTTGACGCTCAACATGTTGTAAACCACCTCGAAGCGTTTCTCTCGTTCTGGGAAATCAACAGCGGTGATATCCACGACACTTTTGAACTGACACTGTGAGTGATCTCGAAGGAAAGTCAAAACGGGGATGACGCCAGACGGGGAGATGTGCAAAGTAAGCTCATCCTTCAATACAGAGAACTGCTGGACGAATTTGGGGAGACATTGCATAAGGTATGATCCATATGTGTGTAATGACTCGGTTGTCTCAGCATACTTGGTAGCTGTAGGATTCGGAGACGTAGGCTCGGTGAATGGCGAAACGGAGGCTAGAAAGTTGTCAAAACGGTCATCAGTGATTAGGCAGGCATAACTTACCTCTAGACGACGATGACGACTGTATTTTTCGCGTCAAAGCGACACCAACGGTCCTCGCTGGTCTCTTCGACGAGCTTTTAAGTAGATTTGTGACCCGCAGACCCGTGCGGAACGACATGTTTGCTGGTTACTTGCTCAGTGGGTTCAGGCAAACGGTAAATTCACACTCCGATCCGAATCGTGACCGGCGCCGTCAAGTAGACCATGGCTTCACTTATCGACAACGACACTCACAGAACAGAAATATTCGATTCATTACCTTACTATGACAATGATCTCGAGAAAAATCCAATATTGAGGGAAAAAGTTGAGCGCGAACTAGCACGCGAGCCAAAACCACCACAGACTCTGCATCCTCGCGTTCCCCCTCCATTAGAGCTCTTCAAGGTATTTAAAGCTACCTTTTGATCGTTCACAAACCTGATATGGCGTAGGACAAACCTGGGCTTGCTGCTGAGCTTGCGCGCGTCGAGGCTCATCAGCCTTTAGCACCTTTGGATACCATAAGATATCAACTTCCGGCACCGACGTCTACCCCAGGCACAGATGAGGAATGGCAGCAAGCGCTGAAGAATGCACAGTCTCAACTAGAGCACCAGCGTATTCGGTGGGTTTTCAGTTATCCTTTGAGTACCTCGAGCTCACGCTCTCTCAAAGGCACACAAATCTCGCGCTGCTGCAGACATATGGACCCAATGCTTGGAGAATTCACAATTACTTGTTAGAAGCGACAGCCAAGCAAGCAGAGACAGCGCTCGAGGAGTTGAAGCAGCGCACCACAGATATTAACCGAGAACGCAAGAACTCTCAGGTATGTTTCGTGTTGATCAGGAGAGCAGTTGTGTTCATACTTGTTTGAAGACGCAAATTGGAAACCAGTTGACATCGTTGGAGAATAAATGGACAGAGTTGATATCGAGCATCCTTCAGATTGAGATGGCAAATGTGGCTCTGGATGCAGAAGTTGACCGACTGAATAAAAAGGAGGCTGAGCTTGCTAGCATGTAGCAGTTTGTAGCTTATTAGAAGTACTACTTAACCGAAAAAGGCTAACCGCCGCTCAACGTTGCACTCTGCCCTCGTTTGATATTTCCGCTCGTCAACGACAACGAAAATCTCGTTTGTCTACTCTACATAAAGCTTTTAGGCAAGTCAATAACGAGTTAACCGTGTGTTTTAGCTCATTGTCGTGTATTTTTATTTGATTTCCTTCTCGGCTCTTGCTATAATCTCTCTAGGCACCAGAAAACTGACTATCGGCGTCTTGGGACGCGTATATGGCCAATATCGAGAACTCAAACACGGGGCTAACTGAAAATCATGCAGAAGAGGAACATGTTAATGCGCTGTTGAATTCATCCAATGTATCCGAAGAACATTCTGCAGTCGCAGCTTGCGCTCTCAAGACTTCGAGTTCACCTCCATTGATTTCACCTACGAACTCATCAACTCAATCTCGCACTCAACTGGCTCTTCCTGCTTCAGATTCGTCATTAGCTGCCCCACATCCAAAGAAATTTACTTCTGTCAACATCAACAAGAAGTTCCTGCAGAAGAATTCGTCCTCCTCAGGGTCTGCTACCACGTCATCGAACCACGTACCTGTCGTCAAGTCTGGTAGTCCAGCTCGTAAGTTCAATGTTGTATTTTATAATAATAATCTTCATATGACGTCCTGTAGCCGTCCGGCCTGTGGCTCCACCAATAAGCACGCATTCGCGGCTCGTGACCACCAAGCTTACAGCAGCGCCTGTTTCATCAACTACAACTGGTCCAGGTTGGTCGCGTCCACCATCCGCGGCACCTCCAGTCTCTTCAACACCATCAACTTCATCCAATGGACCCCCTCCACAGCCTCTTCCACATGCCGCTGCACCAGCGCCCGTTTCCATTCCAGCTGCCCCACAGCTTCCCGTCGCCGGCAAAGTTATTCAGCCACACCCACGAGCTATCCCATCGACTTCGTCCGCCACGGGGAAGAAGGATACTACGTCCAAACCGGCTTGGGGGCATCTGAAAGTCATGGCACCAGTCCTGTTGCCGGACAGTGCGGGCCCCTCAGACTTTCCTACGGCTGCCGAAGTTGCTCATGGTATGTTGCAAATTTTATAGGTGCAGTTCGCGAATTGATCTGCATTCTTTAGGCCGACCATCACCCAAGGTCACTGAATCACAGAAGCCCTCTGATGCTCCTCATTCAAAAAGTGTGACACTAGAAGAAGCTGATGCATTTCGAGGAGTTCACCTTGATCCAAACGCCCACCACTGGGATGAGGTCCGCTTCAATTCACTCTTCCTATTCATTTTTCTCACATTTTGCAGATGGAAGAAGATGATGACCATTTTCTGGACGGAGTCATCGAATTTGGTGACGGAAGACAGTACAAGATATCACCGGCTGAAGCTAGTGCGCAAAATGTATCATCACCCGACCCAGCTACGGATACAGTCGAGCCCCATCCAGAGATTGTTGACAGCGGCAAAGCACCTGTTAGTAAAGAGGATCGTTTTGCGGACGACTTTGACCGGAGGTGGCCACGATCAAGGCCCTCTCCATCGTTCGTGCACAAGGATCTACCACGTGCTTCTCGACATCCGTCAATGTCCCCTGTGTCTTCGCATCCTAGCTACTCGCCTTCGGAAGGTTCGAGAGTCCTTTTCAATGAACGCTCAAACAGACTTGAGCCATATAGTTCTCATCCAAATACCCGTCATCTCCCTGGGGCTCCGATTTCTAGGAGAGGCTCTCATATAGAGCATATTCCACCAGTGGACATGCGTAGTGGACGAGATGGACCAATGCGGTCACCTGTACAACCAGTGCAATTACTCCAAAAACCTGCGGGTAACTATGATCGCTCATCGCGCACATCGAGAAACGGTCCTGGTCCCCATGTCCCTTTCGGCAGGACTCGTGACGGTTTACCCTCTCTCTCAATGAATGGGCCGCCAAACTGGGACGGGCTTCCATCCGTTTCTCCTATCGAGAAGCACGAAATCATGCTTGATAGCAGAGGTCGTCGTTTGTCGAACATGGGCCCTCCACCATTGCCGTCATTGAAGCGTGATGCCACTCGGCAGCGTCCACCTCATATTTCAACCGCTCCGCCTGGAAAGCTTTTTGCCAGAGATTCACATCAACCTTCGTCTGCTTCTCAACAACATTTCGATTCGCCCACTACAACTCATGGGGGTAGTGTCGTTGGTCAGTCACCCTTATTGTCTACTATTTCGGTGACCTCCGAAACTGCTGCCCCATTCATGACTCCTACGCTGAGCATTGAAGACGCTCACAAGACGGCCATGCACATCTCAGCTGAGCGCGCAAAACAGCGACGACAGGTGGAAGAAGAGGAGCGGGAGAAAGAGAAAGAACGTGCCCGACAGAAGGCAGCTGCGTTGGAAGAGAAATTCAAGGCACACGAAGAGAAGAAGAATGCTCAAGTGGGTATTTGTGACGTGGCTAGCATCCCACACGGCTCATTCCATTTGCAGGAAGCGGAAGCCGTGAAACTGATACAAGAGGTTGCGGAAGCAGCTTCACAGCAAGCGCTGCAGCTCGATGCCTCGGCACAACGTCCAACACCTGTCAGGCCGATAGGGCGACCACCTTCTTTAAGAGCATCTGTCAGACCGCCGATGATTTCGAGGCCGATTGTGCCCTCAAATGTAGAACAATCTCACGATTCCTCGAAAACGGATTCCTGGAGAAGCAAAGCTCCACCTCCATCGTCGCCACCAGCGCCTCGAGACACGCCTGTACAGCCCCGTGCACCTGCGCCGTTGCTTAGGGTAGAAGAGTTTATTACCGTTTCTGCAGATGAGGATCTCGAGGTGGTGGACTTCTCTGATATGGGTAAATTCGTTGGTGCTCCAGCGGCCCCGCAAACCGAGGCACCACACGAAGGCAATGAAAGACCGTTCCGTCCCCCTCGGCCTGTCGCAAGTGACTTCTTTGAAGACTCGGAGCCTCAGACACTTCCTCCTCATCCGAAGTCTCCAAATGTGTGGCGTCGCAAAACACCCACTGAGCTTGTTGGCGATGTTTCGACTCCATCCGCATCGACGAACCAAGAAATTCCAAAGGAGACTGTGGAAAAACCGTCACAGGATACTCCAGTGAGCGTTCCGAGTCCGGAATCGCTACAGGAGGCAGTGGCGCGTATATCACCTTCGAAGAGTTCCTCTACTGCGGATGGCTTAGCGACATATTCGTCTAACCACACGACGTTGCCCACATCTCCGCAACGCTTAACTCGCCCGACTTACCGCGTGCGAATGTCTGCTCTCGATGATGTGATGTCTCGCATCAGGGGAGCTTTGGATGACATGAAAGAGACGGAATCTGCAAAACAGGCCATCAAGGAGACTGTAGATGCGCCGCCCGACCCAAATATCGCTCCATCTCAGGGCAATGCTAATGGTCGGGGTTATTCAGGTGCACCTAAATGGCTTCCTCCTGCACTGAGGCCACGTCGTGTCGAATTTGGGGAAGAACACGAAGTCTTCGACGTCACTGGCTGCGAACCACCATGTTCGCCTCGACTGACTGCTGTGGTCTGCCTCCCTAGCCAATCACGTCCCTTGGATCCTATTCCTAAACGGCAAGCCCGTTTTTTGAAGAATGTGCGTTCACAGTTTCGATGGGATATAATGTCTTGGGATCCACCGGTCGAGGGCATGAGCAAGAAAGACTTCTCCTTGAATGATGTGCTCCACAAGAGCTATTTGTCTCCCAGGGGCAAACCCAGGTTTCGCGTACACCTTCCTCGAGCACGGCATAATCATGCGTCTTTTGCCATTCCGTTAGGACCTAAGGTCAATCTTCCTGCTGGATCAACAAAGCCGGGCTTGTCATACGGGAGGTCGAAGGTTGACGACCTTCCGTCGTGGAGGAGGGTTGCTATCTGTCCATCTATTCCGGAAAACAGCCCAGATGGCGCCAGCGCAGGTGCTCTTGACACAATCAGTTGCTCGCCTCCTCCTAACCCACCAGAACTTACCCCCGCTGCCCAAAGTGTATTACCATGCACCAACAAAGCGGAAGCCGTTTCGCAACGTCCGAGACCTCAACCAAAGATGCCAGTGGGTTCTGCAGTAGCATTTTATCGTGATATCCCGTCCGACACAGCTAGTCGAGAGTTAAAGAAGCGTACGGTATCCTTCACCGTCTTTAGCGAGCTGGACGAAATACCGGCATCTCCACAAAGTGATCCGCCAAGCGCTCTATTCTCTTCGGCCGTAGACTCATCTGAATCTGACAAAAGTTTTTATACCAAGGAGACGGTTACAATCAGTCGTGTTGTGAATGGTCTTGGAAAAGATACGAGCTCCCCAAGACTCGTTGTTTCAACGCAGCTGGACTCTAAGAGCTCGGATGAATCGGTCGGTATTCCGTTGTATTTCTATGCATCTTCTTTTGTGGCTCACAAGTATATAGGTTGACAGAAATCTCATCACTCCTGGATCTACATCATACAGCACACCATGGACGAAATCCCCTTTGAGCTTTTCATCTGCAAAGGAATCTCCGGCGAGAGCACCAGATCCCGAGCATTTAAAAGCTGTATGGTCGCAGCCCTCTGACAAGGCTTTAGTACATGCAGTAAACTCCCTCGAGGGCATTGCGGATGATCTTACTGCTCTACCGTTCACATTGCAAGATGTCAAGTCTGAAGATGGAGAAACTCCCCCTCCTACTTCAGCAGCAAACGTTCCATCCAAGATGTCACTCCATGATGTCACACGTGCATTCCAGCAAGTACCTACTTCATCAAATGCCGCTACGAGGAGCAGTAGTACGTTACCATCTTCATCTGTAGCCGGACCCATCAGCCGTCCTTCCAATTATACATATAGTACTGTCCATCCGCCAGGCATGAGCGGCCGGCCCCCTTTTCCCTACTCGCCGATGATGGCCCACCCACCTAGTCCCACACCCCTCGTGTATCCACCACCAAGCCCTGCTCCGCGCGGACCCAATGGGCATTCACCCATGTTTGGTGGCGGCCAACCAATATGGGTGCCTCTTCCATCCCAAAGCCACTCTGGTGCAGTGAGGCCGGTAACTTCGCCATACCCTACGCAGCTGATCGCATATCCCTCACCAAATGGGGTTCCGTCGATGTATGGGCCTCCGCCTATGCCACACGGCTCGCAGTCGCCACCACAGATTAACGGAGCTGCCCAACCCCGCCCTCGCAATATGCCGGTGATGAGTCCTGTGTTGCATTCAGCGACTCCTTCACATGCGAATCATTCAATGTATGCTGGGAGTCCTGTGATGATGCACGCTCTTCCTATGATGGCTCATGGCCCCCAACCGTACATGGCCGTTGCTGGCCGTGGACAAGGGCGTCCTGATGGTATGCCTCCGATGCAGCAATCACACTCTGCTCCTCAACCTTCGCACGCTACTATGTATAGTCCTGCACAACCTCTACCATATGGACGTCCGTCGTGGTGATACGTGTAATGCTACCTGACGATATATTGATGTTTCTCTGACATGTTATTATATGTTGTTTCGTTATTTTCCTACCCTCTCAATGCATATCTGCTAGCAATCCACGAGTACGAGGCCCGAAGCTGATCACAATAATTTATAAGCAAGGTGAATAATCTAAATCTACCTCTAAACTGCCAGCTGCACAGCAGTCTCGGCAGCTTCATCCAGGCTATCCAATGCGACTATCTTCAGACCAGATGCCTTGATCATCCTATATGATTAAGAGTCAGACTGAGGTCAATTAGTAATAATCAAGAAAGAAAACCCACTCCTTCGCTTCTGCTTCCATTGTTCCCTTCAATCTAACGACTAATGGAATAGTGAGACCAAGCTCTTTGGTTGCTTTGATGACACCCTCGGCAATGTAATCACAGCGCATGATACCACCGAAGATGTTGATAAAGATACTCTTGACCTTGGGGTCAGAGAGAAGAATCTCGAAGGCTTTTTTGACCGTCTCGGGGGTGGCACCTCTGAGGATAAGTAGTCAAGTACAGAACACAGTAGCATCAGGTTCTACGTACCCCCCGACATCCAAGAAGTTGGCGGGATTACCACCATGTAGAGCCAGAACGTCCATTGTGGCCATGGCCAATCCAGCACCGTTGACTAGACAGCCAATACTGCCATCGAGCTTAATGAAGTTCAGACCGGCCTTCTGAGCTTCAACCTCTGATGGCTCCTCCTGTGAGATATCGCGGAGCGCAAAGATGTCCTCATGACGGAACTCAGCATTGTCATCAAAGCCGAATTTGGCATCCATACTGAGACAAATTGAAGGGGAGCAACGTGGAATATGAGATTTCCACTCACCAAAGTACATGGCCATCAACAGTCTCTGACATGGGATTGATTTCGATTTGGGTAGCATCCTTGTCCTTGAATATCTTGTACAGGTTGATGAAAATGTTTGCCGCTTCATCCTGACCACCTTCCTTGATGCCAAGGGTTTTAGCAAGTTCAAGGGCCGTTGACTTGCTCAGACCCTTCTCAAAATCGATGGGAGTCGTAATGATAGCACCGGGGTTAGTCGCAGCAACTTCCTCAATGTTCATGCCTCCCTGATTGGACGCGACAAGAACAACACCTTGGGTAACACGGTCGTTGAGTACAGCGACATAGTATTCGTGGGAAGGATCACGACGCTCAGCGAGCATAACCTGTCCTGTAGTCAGAGACGAGAAACAGCTGATAATGAATGTACAAACAGCATTGCAGATTCTACCACCAGCACCAGTTTGCTTCGTGATGAGTTTTGAACCAATCATCTTGCCAGCATATTCCTGTGCTTGTTGTGGGCTTTGAACCACATGAGTTGTGAAGTAGGGACATCTCTATTGAGTTGTTACGTACCTGTCGATGGTATGCACACCACCCTGGAAGCCGTTGTCGAATTTTCCTTTGCCCCGGCCACCGGCAAGCACTTGTGCCTTGATTACGAGTTTGTCCGTGCCTAAGCATCCCAGTCTTAGCGAGGAATACACGTCACGATGAAGATTCCAAACGCTCACCAAAATTCTGAGCAACCTTGTACGCCTCTTCAGGAGACTTTGCAACGATGCTCTTTGGTGTTGGTATACCATACTAGGGATCAAGGCGGCAGTTGTCACGTTATGAAATGCTGACGATTTCTAACCAATCTCACCGAGTTTAGTAGATTCACCGACTGGTACTCGTGAATAGAAAGGAAGCGCCTTTGACCGGCAGATGCTGCTCGCTATAACACCAATCAGATACAAAAAAAACATGAATGAAACCTCACTTACTCGGGCCAACGAGCTTGATGTTCTGAAGGAGGCAAGCATTGAGGAAGAGATGTGATTGAACGTGATAATTCTCAGCCCTTCGGGAAAAGCGGGGGCGCGGCTGCTTATATCAGCGGAGTGTCGATGAAAAGGGCATGGAAACACATGTTTGTGTTCTTCAGCCAGAGTGACGACGACGGTGGACTTTCTATCACAAGAATCTTCCAGTCTCTGATCCGCTTCCTCTTAGCTTGGAATAGCTCTGGCAGATGGAATACCGTGACCTCGCCTTGAGTTCGGACAACCTATCTTTAAACCGTGGGTTGTTCGAAATTTGGCAGAAGGAACATGCACTATCGAATTGCCATTGGCACATACTTAGTACTACTAATCTTCTATCTATCCGATGTTTTATAGCCTCGGTCATGAATTATCCTCGAGGCCAGCCTCGTTGCAAATATAAAGGAGTTAAAAAAATTGTTTGGACAGCTGAGCTCGGAGCAACGCCCTCATGTCAGTTTCCACCATGGTTGACTCAGTTGTGGACTCGTCTCATTCAAATGGTAGTGATATTGCCAGCCTTTCTTCCCTCATTCAGCTTCAATTTGTGTCGACCTACTGTTCTTCAACAGGCCCTTGATCTTGTGGAGAACATCCTGACTTCCGACGACCAGCTTACTGTTACATCCAAATTCCTTCCAGGGTCAACTATTGGTGATACTATACTTCATGTGATCAATACGATCTTGTGCATGTTACTGAGAGATTGCACGCAGGAAAACATTTGCGGCATGCGCGGGATCATTTTATCCTCCTCATCGATTGTGTAGCAGGGCCCGCCCCACATATCTTTTCATATGACACCCGCAGCCGTAATACACCAATGGAGAGCAATCTCTCAGAAGCGCGAGAGGCCCTCAAGCAAGCTATCTCGCGTGTCAATGAAGTAGTACCCACAGCGAACCTCGACATCCCACTGACCTTGAACGCCGTGACGCCGTTCATGCAAACCTTTGAGACAACATTTGGTCGAGAGGTAAGATTTGAGTACGATGATGGATGATCTTCTCACCCCTGTTTTTCATCCAGCTCTGGTTTGCAGGGTTACATGCAGTTCATCATTGGTCCATGGTCTGTCCATAGTGTTTCATGATGCAAACGAGGTGCTTATATGCTTAAATTCGTAGGTCCGGGTCATAGCAGGAGAGTTGGTCAGTGGGTTTTCATCTGCAAATGGGGGTTTATTAAACCCTTGCGCAGGACATCAAACTTAACGATGATTTTGGTTTTGCTCCCTCCACTCTTGTCTACAAGGGTAGCGAAGCGCTGTTAGGAAAGGCAAAAATCTGAAATTCGGTTGTGTTGTATAGCATACCTCACAACTAGTAGTAGTACCTCGTACTGAGTTGTTAAATCCACCGTTGGCGGATCACGTGTGCTCAGGGTGCCTCAACTTACAAAAGTCATCTTTAACGCAACTGGTACTGAAGCTTGAAGTCCTTCACCATCACTATTATACTCATTCTTCTACCATGTCACAAAACATGATACCCCTTGATGGTGAAGGTCAGAAGAAGAGAGTGGTAAGTTATTTTCTTTGCAGCCGGAGATTCCTCGATCAGATCATGCTTACCTCCCCGTCAGTGTTACTTCTTCGACTCGGACATCGGGGGTTTCCACTATGGTCCCGGACACCCGTGAGTTATGGTTGTCTGTCAGGCCGGGGGTTGTGACGTGATTATCTGCCAACAGGATGAAGCCAACTCGTATACGAATGTGTCATTCCTTGGTCATGAACTATGGTCTGTACAAGAAAATGGAGATATTCGTGGGTACACCTGCGAATGCATGGACGATCACTTGACCCAAATTTTACCTCCCGCAGCGTGCTAAACCTGCAACAAAACGCGAAATGACACAGTTTCACTCTGACGAATACGTCGAGTTCCTCAGTCGCATCACCCCCAGCAATATGAATTCGTACATAAAAGAACAACATAAATGCAAGTAGTTCCACCTCTTATCTTCTCGCGTCGTCTAACTATCCTGGCTTCCTCTCGCAGACAACGTTGGTGATGATTGTCCTGTTTTCGATGGGCTGTTCGACTACTGTTCTATCTCAGCCGGAGGCTCCATGGGTAATAGTGTTTCACGAGGTATGATAAGTCAACGCTCACGCGTCCTGCAGAGGGTGCTGCACGTCTTAGTCGTGACAAATGTGATATTGCCGTAAACTGGGCCGGCGGTCTTCACCACGCGAAGAAAAGTGAAGCAAGCGGCTTTTGCTATGTCAATGGTCATACAAATTCTTTCTGCAACAGCTATCTTCACGCTGATTACATGTCGTAGACATTGTGCTGGGCATTCTTGAGTTGCTCCGGTGCGCGCTTTTCAATTGCAGAGTCTAATCTTGACATGGTCCTGATGATCGAAACCTACCAGGTATCATACCAGAGTCCTTTACATTGATATCGATGTACATCATGGTGACGGGGTAGAAGAAGCGTTCTACACCACAGATCGGGTCATGACGGTCAGTTTCCATAAATACGGCGAGTATTTTCCAGGAACTGGCGAATTGCGGGTATGTGTCATTTTGTCTTGTTGGTGGAATATTCTTGACACCTATCAGGACATAGGAATAGGCAAAGGAAAATATTACTCTCTCAACTTCCCATTGCGTGACGGAATCTCGGACGAAAACTATAAATCGGTGTTTGAACCCGTGAGTGAAGTTTTCTTTTCCAGCTGGCGTCTACAAGTTTGCAATACAGGTGATCCGTGAGGTCATGGAAACGTATGACCCGTCGGCTATTGTTCTTCAATGTGGAACAGACTCCTTATCGGGAGATAAACTCGGCTGCCTAAACCTATCTATGCGAGGTATGACCAAAAATGTTACCCTGGACTTGTCTGAACTTTCATTCAGGGCATGCCAACTGTGTCAAATTTGTGAAGTCCTTCAACAAGCCTCTACTACTGCTTGGAGGTGGGGGTTATACGATGCGCAATGTCAGTCGGGCATGGGCCTATGAAACTGGTCTGGCAGCTGGCGTTGAACTGGCACCAGGTTGGCCTTCTTTCAGTGCAGCTCTCTCACCTCATACTGACATGATCTAGAAATACCCGTGAATGAATACTACGAGTATTTTGGACCAGACTACGAATTAGACGTGAGGGCGTCAAATACAGAGGATATGAATACACCGGAGTACCTGGAACGCGTCAAGAATATTGTACTTGAAAATCTGCGACATTTGGGAGGGCCTCCCGGTATTCATATGACAGGTATGGATTTGGAGGGCATTTGGAAGGTACTGGAATGTTCATTAAACTGCCAGATATTCCAAAAATGCCAATAGACGACGATATGGATGACCCTGATCAGGACGAAGACTTGATTCCTCCTGATACCAGAAGACACCGACGGCTATTGGACTCTCGCATCCAAGCGGACGGAGAACTGTCTGACTCGGATGATGAGGGAGAGGGGGGGCGTAGAGACCACGCACAGCATCGGGATCGTGACAGCGAACCGAGAAGCCGCTCAAGCGAGGTAGACATTGCTGGTGGAAGGAGGTTTGGTATCGGTGTGGGTATATTGAGTTCGGGTGCTGCGGGCTCGACCCATGGGGCTGGTCCTAGTGGACACACCACGATGGTTCGCCCCGTGTTGAGCGGGCATTTGCCGATGGAAGTCGATACTCCAACGACCACAGAAAGCGGGCCTACACCTATCGAACCAGTCGCCACCAATGGCACGACAGATCATTACTCGGGCGATAAGTCGCCAAAAATGGACGATGCTACGGCAACAAGTGTAGAAAGTTGATGACTTACTTCGGCTGACCACTTTGGATATTGCTTGCTATTATTGCTGTCGTTATGCTACCGATATATTAATCGAACACCAGGAAAAAGCTTGCAGACATTGCATGGGACGTATGCCAACTGTTGCTCAGCGGATCAGTTCTGTTCACTCATTGAATCATTCGAGTCAATGGCAAAAAACCCAACTTCCTAATCCGTAAAACTCGAGTCTTTGTCATATGGAACGTCTCCGACCCTTCTTAGTAAAGCTAGCACTCAATCACTAGAGGTCTCGAACATTCATGATGGAAGGACGGAATACTTCTCCTACGCTTTCCACTGCCGAGAACTCGCTTCTAACACCCGAGCAAGTCAAGCGCATTGAGCTGAACCGCCTCAAAGGTACATGAGTAATGTCACGGGGGTGCCCACATTCCAGTCCATATTTCAGCTAAACGCAGTTCTACCACAGCAAAAGCAAGGCAGAGACAACGAGAACAGGAGGCAGGCCCGTCATCTACGCCAAATCCGAACCAGAAACGCCCTCTCGAGGTGATCCCAGCTGTGTCCACGTCACCGACAGCTCCTAAGCCACTGAAGCGTGATTCACGCCTCGGCAAGTACTTTGATTATGACCTGTCCAAAATGGTCAACTCGAAAGGTGGATTTTTGGTCGAGGATGGCAAGGAGGTGGACGAAGATCTAAGGGCGAAAGAGCGAGAACGAGAAAGACAACGAGCCAAGCAGAACTTGGAACCGCGTAAGTCTTACTTTTTCCTCTTTGTTGAGGTACTAATGATAGTGACATCACAGCGATGTACTTGGATCCGAGCTTGAATCCGAAGTGTAGAGAATGCCAGTCTATCGACATCGATTACACGTACAAGAAAATATTTGGATGCCTGGTATGTAACAAATGCAAGGATGAATACCCAGAGAAATACAGTTTGTTGACAAAGACTGAATGCAAACAAGTAAGTCTTCGCTTTCCCTGCACTTTCATCCTCTGACAGATAATCAGGATTACCTCTTAACTGACCGTGAGTTGTTGACTTGGTCATAGTGCATATATTGATAGGTCCAGCCGAACTTCGGGATCGAGAGCTGCTACCCCATCTACTGAAAGCTAATCCTCATAAGTCAACGTTCGCGAATATGATGCTCTTCTTGCGTCATCAAGTCGAAGATTTTGCGTGGAAGAAATGGGGTTCACCAGAGGCTCTAGACGTTGAATGGGAGCGTCGAACGGAAGAAAAGAAAAACAAGAAAAACAAGAAGTTTGAGGAAGGACTGCGAGATTTGCGCAGACGGACTAGAGAAGGTGTGTGGCAAAGACGAAAAGATCAGGAGCACAAACATGTCTTCGGAGTAACGGAGGACCTCGGGGATGGCATGGGTCGGCAAGTTTGCCATGAATGTGGATTCACCATCGACGTCGAGGTCTTTTGATTTGTTTAAGCGCTCGCCTGGGATCACTCAGGGGATCTTGGTCCAGTCCGAACTTATAATTGTATCAACCATAAATATCATACTGTCTTACAAATTTTTGAACAAGCTGCACATACAGCGTACGCATCTTTTACCAATCCCGACCTGCACATGTCAGTTTCCTGTGATTTTTACTCGCTTACCTAGCTGTAGGCCGCTCAGAATCATATAGCCGGGTCAAAAGGTTCCGGTCACTTGCCGGTCACCGTGCACTTCCCGTTCACAACTTGAAACTCAACCGGGTAGTTATCGATTAGTACTAAACTGGTTGTCATCATCGCCCATTCAGCAGGTGATCCAGTTGGTGGAATTCACCTGCTTTCGGTTTCATACTAATACTTATTGCCAGCTTTACCGGTACTTACTCCGGAACACCTCACGAGTCACTGCCACTAGACTCGTCGAAGATTGCAGTAGTCAGGCCTTTCCTCCCAGCCCACACGAAATAGCTGTTTTGCCACAGCCCAGGCATTTACTATGGATGATCCAAACCAGGCCGAAAGCTCCAAGATTTCCACCTCTTTGGAGCTTGAGCAGATCGAAGTAAATCTCTTTCGGTCAAAGACTTTATTCAAACCCACGAAGGCTCGAGGGGTCTTCGGAGGGCAGGTCATCTCACAAGCAATAGTCGCCGCTACCAATTGTGTTGATCCCGTGTTCGGGTTGCATGTAGGGATATTTTTCTTCATATCCGGCACTGAAAGTTAATGCCAGACCGCTGTTACCCACTAGTCTTTGCACGTGAGTCGTGTGTATAACTTCTTGATCGACAATACTCAATTCCATTTAGTGTTACTTTCTTTTGAGTGCATCTCCTGCTATCCCTATCATATATTTCGTCGAGAGGCTACGGGAAGGGCGGTCATACACTACCCGAAGCGTCAAAGCAGTTCAGAATGGAAAGGTGATATTTCAGCTAATGTGTTCCTACCACAAGCCGGAACCATGGCAACCTACATACCAGTGGCCCATGCCCGAGGTGCCCCCACTTGAGGAGTGCGAGCTTGAGGAAGTGCTGTTTAGACGCTGGGCTACGAGGGAGGACCTTCCTGCGAAAGTTCGGGACCTGTTCTTGTCTTATGCACTTGTAATGTCTGCCCTACTACTTTTGTTCGCAACACAGCTTACCTTGCCTCTAGGAAAAGGAAAATGGTCCAATTTCAGTCAGAAGGGCTGGATTGACCACCGAGAATGGTACACAAACATCCATGCATTGGATGCAAGCCCGAACAGGTCAAGCATCACATTACGGGGCACCTTACCAGAAGGTAGGATGTTGCCATGACTAGCTGATTCTTGTCTAATCCACATCATCAGTGTATTCTGGCATACCTTTCGGACCTCAACTTGTAAGCAGCCTTCGACTCACGGGAGATACTCTCATGTTGCGCCATATCTAGCATCTCCGCTGCGTCTGATGTTCTTAAACTCAAGCGAAACTCAGACGGTCCTGACGCTCTTACCATGAGTGTGAGTACGGTATTGTTTTGTGCCTTCGAATCCGCTTACAAACTCCACCTAGTCTACACTAGATCATTCCATATGGTACTATGAGTATGCTTCCTCTTCATTACTTGACCCACTGTGTTCTCAACTGCTGTTAGCGACAACTTTTGTTGTGAAGATGGATTACTCTACGTGGTAGGTGTCTTATCATTTCTTGAAAGTCATTCTTGTTCATATCTTTCCTCATGTAGGTAGTTTGTCCTCGAGCTACGTCCGGTAGGGCAGTGGTTCATGGCAGGGTATGTGGTGTTTATATTTGCCGCAACCTTTTCGGAATTTCTGATGCTATACAAGTTGTACTCGCAAGCTGGCAACCTGGTTGCAGGTCACTTGTCAGGAGGGCGTGGTACGGGCTAATGTACGAGGTCCTACTGAAAACAAGGCAAAGCTGTAGAGTACATGTTATCTGTGTGACACTAACTTAAAGATACAACCGAAATTTGGTACTTATATTCATCGAATTACGATGACGTCTTCAAGACTGTAGATTCTCCGCCTCGTGTGACAGGCTTCTCGTAAGGAATGTTGAACCCTGGTGAGACACTACTGTAGTGCACATGCAATTGTTCAAATATCGCAACAGGTACAAAAGTCTAGCTACTGTCAGTGATGCAACAATACTTTTTTATCGTTTTGTTTAGACCTATTTCTTTTATAAATCTACTTCGCGACATCAAATAACTACGACGACAAAACTTGAAAACAAGAAGCAAATCAGTCCCGCCCCTTGCCGAGTAATCCGACAAGCATTAATCACATTGAGCATTTTCCCGGCTAAACACCACTGCCAGTTGTTATATGCACGTGCTCCTGGAAAGCGATTGAAGTCATAGCAGTTCCTGCATCAGAGTCGGCCACGAGCCTAGCGTTAAATTCTCGAACACCGAGAATTAGGCGTGGTCCCAGCACGACCATCTGTACGAGCGTGAAAATCTGAGAAAGGCCAAGATATATCTGAGTCTCCAAAGAATATGGGTTCTATAGAAATGATGAATCGTGCTCGCATACAGAGGTGAGTATCGGATTGACATACTGTTGACAGCACCGGAGATAAATAACCGATCTGGAAGCAAGACACAGCAACGAAACTAGCACGTTTCAGTGAAAAAAAGAAAACCGCATGAACATCATGGACTCACCCCGTAAAGTAAACCACGTGAGTTTTTATCAGCACCGTGAAACAGTCCTCGAGAATCCCTCTTGCTGATGATCGTGGCAGTTCGCGAATATGTATTACAGCAATCCAGACTGCGAGAGACAGTACAAAGACTTCCCATGCGATGCCGATTATCCAAGCGAGGTCAACCAGAAGTACGCCGTTTCCGTTAAAGCTAGGGGAGCACACGTAGCTACCGGAGAGAATGAGAACCACTGGTATTTGCCAATGAGCGTGATGAACGGGGTTTTCATCCATGATGAATGCTTACCCGCCGAACTATTCTTAGTTGCTCTTCCGGAAGTCGTCACGTTGATGATGCTGAGAGTCAGGAAGATGACAACGAGAGGTATCAGCACCTTTCTGGATCGCTGATACATCGCATATAAACGAACGATCATGATGACTTGCATTGTTAAGGAAAGTCAGTGTCACCGATCAAAGTGTCGCAGGTGTAAGGCTCACCGCCTAGCATTACAGTCGAAACAAAAGTGATCCAATTTAATGTGACGAAGTAAATATAACCTAAAAAATCCAGTTAGTGACCAGCATCGGAGGATCATACATTCCAAATCAACTCACAGCTGTGGAGATCATTACATTACAGCAATGAGCTGCTTAAGAAGCTCACTCACCCCTACATGAGGGTGCAGTTGAATATATGGAAATGGCAAGGATCGGTGCAAAATTCTCACTGTATCTGTCAACGAGATTGTCGGGACTTGAGCTGTATGCCGCCGGTCAGAAGAAATAAACATAGTGTATGCGAGGAGACATACACAGTATGCTGAGGCTGATTGTAAAAGATGATACATTAGCATGGTGACAATGTTGAATCTTTCAAACATACACGGCATATACTAGTCCAACATAGCGCAGCTAGAAGATTTTCAAGTAAGCGCGAGTTGCCGACCCCAGTTATAATCCAAGGTGCATACACATAGATACAAAGCAGTCATCAGGGACCAACGTTGCTTCTGTTGTAAATCAATGTTTTTGTTCTCCTGACGTAGGACTCTACTCACCCAGATCAATTCGATCTGTAAAGTCATTCTTAGAAAGATGACCGCTTCAGAAATGCAATCAACTTACCTCTTGTGCTAATGTCAGTGCTGGAGATGTTATTATTAAGGAATTTCAGCGGGTCTTAGAAGCCATCTCACTCACCCCAATCATACCCCACACCAACAGAGGCAGCCACTGTAGAACCACGGCCAAGATTAGACTGGGAGATCACTGCCATCAACCAACAGACTCTCCACGAACCTACAAAATAACTGGAAACAATGCAGGCATTAATGGTCGGCCACCAAGAGGGATCATCTGAGACTAAAGGCATGTTGTTAAGGAACAGTAAACTTGGTGGACAGATGATGAGAGCGTTCGCGGTAGATATAATCTAGCATTTGGTTCCTGAATTTTGCTTTAGTCGGCAAAAGTAAGCACTGTCACATGGTGTGGAGTCGATGGGAGAAGATAGGAAATGACATGTACCAAGTTCATCGAAGCTTGACCCGTTGCAAGGAACGGACAGGCCATTGAATCTCAGACGCGGCGATCGGTGAGGCCGCCTTCAATGCTGCACGTCTGAAATTCAATGGTCTTTGCAGTGCCAGGTTTGCCCTGAGTGGTTTGACACAGCTCACGGAACCTGAGCGTGATAAGTCATCGAGGACGTCTCGATAAGGTTTAGTGCTGCCAAGAAACTTGGAAATGAACAACATGCATTAGTAAACGGGAGTGATGTGCGACCGGTCGGATTCACCGGGCTGTGCTCAATTTCGAGTTCATCGTCCACCTCCCCAGTACTTGGGATGATGGGCTCTTCGAGCATCAAATCTGTCCTAAACGAGACTCGTACCTAATCCTTACGGCATGTAGCGCCAACACTTCGAGTTGGCGACGGGCGTGCTAGTGGCCGTAAGATAGGCTGTGGTAAGCGCAAGGTAGGCTGTCTGCGTACCTTCTAACTGCTATGATTGGATTTGAAAAGAAAAGTCATGCGCAGAATGCACTGGCAGTGATCAGTTGTGCTAGACGCGCGCCGAGCGTTTACGACAGAAGGTTTTCGTCATATTGAACATGTGTCAACATCGTTGACATGTGCCACTCGGCTACCTCACCATCTTACATAGAGCGTGCACAACCGGCCGTGCTGTTGAGGTAATTGTAGGACTGAACAGATCAGAAAGATCGTATGTATTATATGTGCCGATGAGAAAGTACATGAACGACAAGTCAGATCTCAAATTTTGCGAGAGAAGATGTAACAATTCAAGCCCAGTAGCACATCATATGATTTTTGGGCAAGGATGGAAAGGGGGGGCGAAGTGTAATGTGAGTGAAAGTCTGAAGAGTTTGATATCTAATTCTTCCGACGGAATGAACTACCTGCAAAAATGACGTTAGTGTTTTGTCAGCCTATCGCAATTCAATAACATACCCTCAGTTAGTCTCGCCTTACCACCCGTAGGTTGGCAAAGGACACTCGAACACGAGCCGCAAAGCACAACTGATTGTGCATGGGAGAACACAGTAGTGATAGCAAAGCATCCTAGCAAACAGTGAGATCAGTATTATCAGCTCTGGCAGGACGGGACATACCTGGGCATTTCACATCCATGAAATAAGAATCGGGGGATTGGACGAGACGCTTGAGTTTATGCTGCTTGCGCTCATGTTCTGCAGAGGGGTTCAATAGATCGATAGCCAGAGGCTGGGCGGATTTCGTGAGGATTTCGCACAAGTAAACCGAACATGCAGATGCCGTACCATTTTTGGCGAGCTTTAATCTGGGTGTTTTTGTTGTCGGCGTTGTTGATGGCTCAAGCGAGACGCTGACGATCGAAGATGAGAGAAAACTCGATGACAGTGAATATGGGAAGTGATAGTACAGTCAATCTGACTAAGCTTGCGGAACCGTCCGCTCAGGCTCGACCGCTTGTCGACCAATTGACCTTGTAATTATCAAGCCGACTTCCCTCAGAGTCTCCCGTAGTCAGGCCATATGAAAAGGAAGACACCTCTTATTATGATAGGATTGGAACATCTTCCTGTGCTTCAATTCAAATATCATCAGCGGTGTTTCTAACAGGGACCAAGGAAATGATGCGAGGATACGCTTCCTCGCAGAGAAAACAATAGCAACCTTGGGCGGATATCAAAACGTACGCGTAAAGGTCTGGCGCAAACTTGTTTTTGTCCTCTACTTGGGAGATCGTAGAGTCGACTGCCGGCAGCACGTGTGCCCACTATTGTTGTCAGAAAAGGAAATTATCCATGTTCTTTTGTTCTCACTTCGCGACCATTATGGAGGGCGCTCCGCCAGCAGCATGCCTTTGTTTACGCCTAGCGGCTGTTCTTGGCATGGCATACATATAAAGCTTAACCCCATAACCTCCCATACTCTCCATCCGGGTTTTGATAATCCAGTCATCAATTTACTAACTTTCTATCCTTGCAGCCAGGTTCGTTATACTTTTGTTGGACTTCCGTTTCGTTTTCAGCTAATCTGCTTCATGGCCTCTCCCTCTAGTCTGTTAGGTGAGCCAGCGTTTTAGTTTTACTTCATGAGACCATACTTAATATCATTCCAGACGTTTGCCAATATTCGATCTCCCCGTCTAAATCAAAACTCAGTATTACTAGAAGACTAGTCGTATCTCAAGTACCTTTTCAGCGCGCTTCACTCCCGCATCCATCATCGCAGGACGATTTCTGTTATTATCATCTATTCAACCTTTCCAATCGCTTTCTCGTTTACAATCATGACTACTACATCCAGTCTTCCCATCACTCTCGCTCAGGCCATCGCCTACCTCACTCGTCCTCTTGTCCTTACGTACCCTGTCGCCACAATCATCAGGCTTCAGCTTGCGCTCGAGGCAAACTTAACTGCACTATTTGCCCCTTCTTGGGTTCCCAAGGAACCCCTTCGTGGTTCCGGCCGGCGTTGCCTCACCTTCTCCCCTAATTGCCTCCCCCCACGTGCCGTATATGCCGCGTGTCTTGCATCCAGTGTTCAGTGGTTCGACTGGATTGCGGTCTTGGGCGGACAAGAGTTCGACTTCTTTGTCGATCCAGGATGCGTCTCCGTGCGCTTCGGGAAGGGCACTGAGCTCATTACCGTCTGGTCAGAGGAGCTGATGGCTCAGACCGTTTTCGTGCCACACCATACGCATTCAAGCCAGCTGCCATCCAAATCTAAGACATTTGCCCAGCAGCTCTTGGAGAATGACCACACGGATGACGATGAACTTTTCGCCTTGATCGCTGACGAAGTCAGCGCACCCACTTGGATGACCCCCATCACTGACCGTTTCCCTGTTCCTCCACGTTCTGAATCACCACTGTCTGCTATATCTTCCGATTCGTGCTCCAGCTATCGTTCGTCCGACTCGGATTCCTGTTTCTCTTCGATGACCGGCTCTACTTTGTCCTCTAGAAACGACAGTCAGTCATCCCAACTTTCCCGTCGCGAGCGGGCCCGGCAGGCTCGTGTCTTTATTGACACTTCCAAGACTGAAGTCACCCCTTACGACGGAGGCAAGACTACTGTTCTCACCGGTGGTGTGATGCTAGGTGCACCTCCCAAGAGCAAGAGCGGCACGTCTGTTCCTGCTTGGCGCCGTGTATGAACGGCTATCAGCCTCCCTCCCTTATCCACTCGTCGCCGATGAAGTTCTAACGAGATCCCACTTTTTACCTGTACGCCTATTCATGCCACAAAAACCACGAACGATAATCCGGACAATGTTCTACCATACCACACCGTTTAACGTCTATCATACCATTTGCCTTTGCTTTTATTACTTTGTTTTCATAGCTTTGATTCAGATCGAGTGTGTGTGTGTAGCATTGAACATTCTCATACATGGCTGTTATCTTTGCACTTTCATTGGCTATCGATTTCCTGTCGTATTACATTCTCAGTATTATAGTTGTATTGTAATTGTATAGGACTAAGCACCCCACCCGTCTATCATTCTGACTCCCGTGATGGCCTATGTTATCGGCGGAATTTTTCCGAGTTCGATCTACTCACTAGCGTCGGACACTAATGCGCAACTCCAAAAACGTCATGTTGGCCCCCATGGCGAAATAATAAACCGCAAAAGTCATAGTCAAGACAGATTGCTCAGTCACGAGGTATATAAAGCTAATCTCCTGGCTACTTTCCATTCTCACTCCTGGGCCTAGTCTTCGTTATTCTATTTGGTCCCATCAAACTTTCAGCATGCCGACCCAATCCTTGGAACAACAGAAATCACACTATTCCCGTGAATTAGCGGCGTACACACTCCGGCAGTGGACAGCAACAATTGATGCACAAAAATTGGATGCATGCTTGTCCAGTGCCATGCGGGACATCTCATTGGCTTCCCCTGGACCCTCACCTGCACGGGAGAAGAAGGGCACTAGGCGTGCCACTTCATCATCTGGAGCTCCTGACCATCGGAAGGAGAGTCGGCCAGGGAAAAGATAAAACATGAGCGTAATGAGGCGCTAAAAGGTTGAGAAATCGCCACATACTAATACGACTCTTCCGGTGAGCTCGGCCCCAGTGACACTGCGTTGGTATCTGAAACCAAGCAGGTTTCCCCCCATCTCCAGAAAATCAGTTCTGCACAAGCTTCACCTATACATATGTTTTCGCTGATACCTAGCCCAGATTTTTTATGGTTTACAGAATCCATATCACTTGTAACTTGTAATCGCACTGGTACTTGTCCGTTATGCCATGAAGAAGGTTGTAGCATAGATATTATATTAACGCGTCATTGTTATAAAAGTATGATGGATGCTAGTTCCAATCGTAGTCAGCCGTGCCAGAGTCGACCGATGCGTGTGATGATTGATTGACAATTATAGATCTACTATAGTACATCGCCTTCTACCTCTAGTCAGGCCTACCCTCGAATCGTCTTTGGTTCATCATGAACTTCAGTGGTTTTCTTCGGCTATCTACTCCCAGATTCAGCAGATCGCTTGCAACTGTAACCCATACACCCCGCTTGGCACCACAAAGACATGACTGGACGCGACAAGAAATCCAAAAGATTTATGACAGTCCTCTGTTAGATCTTGTCTTCCGCGCAAGTAGCATCCATCGTCAGAATCATGACCCTAGCAAGATCCAACTATGCACACTTATGAATATCAAGAGTGCGCTTTGTTCCCGCTCTATCCCCTCTATTCTCGTCCTAAACGTTGCATTATAGCTGGTGGATGCTCTGAGGACTGTAAGGAGCCCATTGTACCGAATAACGATACTGACTCGTCTACTCAGGCTCGTACTGTTCTCAGTCATCCAGATATTCCACCCCGACGAAGGCTTCACGTTTGCTTGATATCGAACCTGTCATCGAAGCAGCACGAAAGGCCAAAGAGAATGGAAGCACAAGGTTTTGCATGGGTGCAGCATGGAGAGACCTCGCAGGACGCAAGAGAGGGTTTGAAAGAATTCTTCAAATGGTCCGAGAGGTCCGGGGTATGGGGATGGAAGTCTGCACGACTCTTGGTATGCTCAGTCCAGAGCAAGCAAAACAGTTGAAAGAGGCGTATGTGTTTTCTGTCTCTCAGGTTCAACGTAATTCACATCTGTTTGGACTAGCGGCCTCACTGCATACAATCATAATCTCGATACGTCGCGTGAATTTTATCCGCAGGTTTGCTATATGTTATGTTTTGGAGTTGCTGCCTGCATCTTTTTCAGGTCATCACGACGCGGTCATACGACGAGCGCCTGGGCACCATTAGCGCAGTTCGAGATGCTGGAATAAGCGTCTGCTCTGGCGGTATATTAGGCCTTGGAGAGTCAGATGCGGATCGCATTGGCTTGATTCAGGAAGTTGCCAAGTATGTCTGTGCTCGACCGTTCAACTGTCACTTATAACTTTTTTTATTTTTTCTACAAGTATGCCGGAACACCCCGAATCCTTCCCTGTAAACGCACTCGTACCCATACCAGGCACTCCACTCGAAGGAAATGAAGTGTGCCTTTTCATTTATGTCTATGTTTTAGCTGACGTATTTTTAAAGCGGGTTGCTCATCATATTTTACTGCGGACGATCGCCACCGCGCGTATTGTCCTCCCAGGAACAATCATTAGACTTGCAGCGGGGAGAAACACGCTTAGTGAATCTGAGCAAGCCATGTGTTTCATGGCCGGTGCTAATGCGGTGTTTACGGGAGAACAGATGTTGACCACTCCATGTACGTGTCTTTGATCTACGTGCGAACAACTAGTAGCTGATGATCGACAAAGGTTCTCCATGGGATGAGGTAAATCTATCATTTTTCAGGTTTGCATGTAGCCGACGAGAACTAACCTTGCTGCAGGACAAGGCAATGATGGGTAGGTGGGGTCTGGAAGGAATGCGAAGCTTTGAACAAGCAAGCGTCGCAAGAAAGGAAGGCGCTGCGCTAGGACCGCAAACTACGAGAACAGTCTCGGAGTCGCAAGCAAAGTCATCCTAGAATCCCCGGCAAATTCGCCACTCATTACGAAATACAAGCAAGGAACATCATTTCGCTACCTAGACTGGCAGTTTGTGTATGTATGTGGATATATATATTTTTGCGACCACGGTGTACGCCTGCGGACTCACCGGCGATAATCCCCAAGTGCAACCGTTCGCGCGGATATTACTCAGGGACAACTTTCAGCTGGAAATGCTATTATAACGTAGCCCTCCTCGTTTCTTGGGGAGTGTGCTGCATCCGCATTCCTTGTTACGGAAGTCAGACCTCAAGACCAGGGACCATACTTTTACGTATGAAGCTAAGGCAGACGAGCTTCACGATTTGTTGATCATTGCATGCAGAAGACAAGCCCATTCCATTCTCGCCAAACATGGTAGCCTGTTCGGCAGACAGCCTGTCCGTCCCTGTGACCGATTTCTCCTGTGTAAATTCGGAGTTCTGCATTACGATTGATCGTTCGCCTTGGATTGCCTTTTGGCACCATACTTCGGCAAAGATCTAAGATGATCGCACCGGATCGCGGTATCATCGCGCAAGTTGCCTCTATTCACAGCATCACGACGACAGATCACGACATCATGACGGACATCGGGTTAGTAGAGATACGACCACCTTAACACTCGAAGAACACAATGTCTGAATAGTGCTGTTTGTTTTATCAGGGAAAACCTCCACCTTGAAATGGATAAAATTGCCAGTAATTCCTTGGTTTTCTTGAAATTTTCAATGATTTGTACCTTGACAAAGACTTCCTACCGCGACCTCGTCACCTGCGTTGCCTGACGAAAACTGTGCTATCAATGTATAAGTTCCTTCGTGCGAGAACCCTAGCTAGTAAATAGAAACACCTGTTCAAGTTGCCGCGAAGCACTTGATTCGGTCTGGACTGCAGATTTCTACTACTTAAGTGTGACTGTCAGTCTGTCACGCCAAATTCTTTTTGGAGACGAAGTTCATTTGTAACATGTGGTAAAAACATACAAAAAAACAGACAGTGACTAGCTATATCGAATCTGCCTGTTCTCAGCTTTACAATAAGATATGAAACAGACGAGAAGTGCAGCAATATCCATATATTCATAATTTGTATTTTGCGTATGGTCATAGGTCACAGTGACGCTAAGCGTGACTGTGCTGCACGTGACGAAGCTAGTGCCGAATCTCTAGAGTATTTTGTATCATCGGTTTATCACAACGTTCAACAGATACTATGCAGAGCGCACCAAAAAGAGCCCATGAAGAAATGAGGTTAGTCCTGAATACGCGTGCATTTAAGAGATCTCATGGCCAGTTTAGTCTGCTGGTCCTCAATGATCACAACGCGTGGTATTACCCCTCGCAAGGCTTAAGTTCAGATGATGAAGACTTGGCGGTCAGCATAGTGGGCGGTAACTGGGGAAACAAGATGAAGAAAAGCAGTAGATGGGTTCGCAAGGGAAAAATGGCTTCATGGGGCCCTGGCATGGACGACTGGGAGGTGAGCTAAGCTATTTACTCTAAACACTCTTAACCTTCAACCAGGCTGAGGACCGTGCCCGTAAACGCATCAAATGTTTGTTACCCGAAAGACGATCGCCCTCCCCGCCTTGCCTTCCTCATATGCGGTCGCCTTCGCCACCACTCCTTGCTCCCTATCCACCACCTATCGGCCAGCATTTCAGCTTCGCCTCTTTTGTCATGGATAAGTCTGTGACGCATTCGTTCCGGTCAAGTTTGTTGGACGAACTGGAATATGCTACTAATAGTCTTATTGAAGGAGAAGCGGTCATGAGACGTGCTCTTGGGAGGCTCTGGCAAGTCATCAGCGAAGACCCAGACAAACAATTGGACGAGGAGCGTGTGATACCGAAACAGGAAGAGCAGGAAGATATTGAGGACGAAGAAGACGAGCAGGAACGTAGGATGGCTCGCGCTCCAGATCTTACCCCAACAGCTCATAAGCTTTTCCTGGTTTCGTACGCCGACAACGGTCCACCTGTAATTGATCCGTCACAATTTTCTTCCCCGGAGATGCAGCAGGACAGTCTAGAAAAGTCTCTAGCAACTTTGCGGGAGCTACAAGATGATGGGAGGGAGTATGTCGAGCGTCTTCAAGAGATTAGGGAGGGTCTTGGAGATACTCGGGCACAGCGGAATATCATCTGGGAGATGGTGCGGGAAAAGGCTGTGAAAGAATTGCAGGATGCGGCCTTCAGCGTCGCTATGGATTGATGTTGATCGATACATACAACAAGCAGTCACATTCCATATTGTACCAGAGACGTACCCTGAGCGTCAGTAATAATAACATTCATCCTTACCACTATCGTATGTCGCACATAAAACCAATCAGATGTGCTGTTCAGAAGGTGCGGTAATGTCGTATATCCGACCGGCCACTGGCAGATGGCAGACCGTGTCGGTTGTGGATCAAACCCTGACTAATTCTTGCTTCTCCGAACGGGCAACTATCTCTCTTACAATTTACTTTCATTGACATTGTTAACAGAACACCATGACTAGCATTCCAGATGTCTCTCGCCTGGCCTTGAATGATCCAGGTCCTGAGATACACCAGACAGAAATTCCAGACGATATCAACCACGCGCCTGACCGCTACATGCAGAAACTCAAGCTTTATGCGACTTCTCTCCCATATGCAATTGAATCAAATGCACGGATGCAAGACATGTTGGATTTTATCCTAAGGCGTATAGCACAATGCGTAGAGGCAAAGGACTTCGAACCGGGTCTTGTTCAGTGGGACAGCATGATCACTTAGTGAGCGCCAGTAATTCACCCAGGAATACAAAATTTCTTACGGGCATTGTAGCTGGAACATGCTCAAGTACCCATTTCCAAAGGAGAAGCGCATTCGCCTTGCGAAGCTGTATTTTCATATCGCAACGACCCCTGGTATGCCCACGCAAGTCATGGCCGTCTGCGCGGATGGGTTGTCAAATTTGACTCGTTCGAAAAAGAAATTGAGCATTGACGATATGAGACTTCCGTGGAAGCCTATCTATAATATCCTTCGGGAAGACTTGTTTTTAACTCGACGTCAGTTCGAGTACAGGCAGGTTACGCTTACTCTTCGATAATTGCACTATCTAACAGTCCACGTAGCCAACTTTCGTGGTGTATGGGCTACATTGCTGATCTATCGAGGAGGTTCTTCCACCCCGCGGCCATTGAAGAGATGCTGAGCACTTTCTTACCAGGCTTTAATGGGACCAACCTAGACGTGAGTTCTTTCCAGCGAAAACAGTTACACGTTCCTCAACTTGCCTGCAGAGCGTTCTTTCGTCGCAGTACTATCTTCTGACCTTCTTACCATTGACACATCCTCAATCGTATCTCCCTATGTTATGTCGTTTGTGGGAGTCTATCAACTCCTACATGTACGATGAAAGGATGTTGCAATTCCTGTCACGCCTCGCAGAGATGCATGTGGACCCAACTATCAGTGATCCTGCTCGCATTTATGATATTCTCGATGATGAAAAGTCTGAAGATGAGGGCAGACCGAAGTGGAAACAAGATGATTACCATGCAGGACAGACGTGGTCTGGCCTTTATAAGGAAGTTGGAATATTCACTGAGCACGAATGGCATCTTATTATGTGTAAATGCCTTGCCTCGATGGGTGGGCAGCCCTTGATAATTTACGTCTTCAATCAAGGCTGACTGACTACCGGTGCCTTTTGTAGCAATTCCACTGAAGGATGCTGGGTCGCTCACCACGGGACCTACAGCCGACTCTTCTTCAAGTTTTGAAATTGGAAGGCTGCCCAAAGCAAACTGGCGTATCCGTAAGCAGGTTACCCTCGCAGAAACAGTTCCGCTGACATCTTATCTAGCATCTCTCGCCAAGCTTATCGTGTACTCTATGGCCCCTGATGGTGCTTCTGCACCTCCTTCTACTGAGTCTACGCCGTGGTGTACACCAATGACTTCAGGCGTTAGCACGCCCCAAGTTAGTGGTTCCGTAGGCGATTATCTTACAGTGCCACTCCATAAGTGGGGGCCATCGAAGCTATATCTAGGTGGTTCTAAAGCTCTGGATTCGCTCGCACGTCTCATTGCCTCTACGGAACATTTCTTTCACCCCACCAACTCTGGAAGTTGGACATCCGATGTTCGTCGTTCATTCGTATCGGGCTTCGAATTTCCGCTAATTTATTGGTTGACACTGCAATTGCTGACCATGTCATATAGCTCACTGCCTTCGTCAAGTACATCGTGTACGAGTTCAACAAACGTGAGAGCTCCCTTTCAGTTTCAGTGCTTATCAGCGCAATATTAACTCGTAATTGCAAGGCTGGCACGAAGAACAACTATCCGACTGCAAAGTACCTCTGGTACGCCATTTGTGTTTCTTTAATTAGTGATGAAATTTAGGTTACCGATTAGACTCGCCGGCTCACACGAGAGATGAGAAAAGAACTGGTCAAGTGCCTCCGGACAGTTGTGTTACTTGCCGTTTTCTCCCAGGATAGTTCCACTGTTTCAAATGTCCAGAGCGCTCTGAAGTCCATGTCGTGCATGGAGCCTGACCTAGTATTCCAGCCAATTCTGGAACGAGCTATTCCTTCGCTAGAGGCTCTCGTTGAGGTACCGCTACTCCTGTCGTCGTTTGTTTGTTTCTCACAGTTCTTTAGACCCAGCGCACCCTGTCCGTGATCAAAGCACTAAGCTCTATTGTTCCTGCAATCGTTTCCCGAGATATTTATTATCCAGGCGCTAAGCATTTGATCACCATTCTGCATCTGCTTGTACCTGGCATCGATCTCGTGAGTAGCTAGTCTCATTTGAATGCTACCTCCTCACTTTCCTCAAATGCAGAATGACCCAACTAAAACGGTATTTAAACCCTTCAAGTGCTTCCCCTATCTAATGCCTTATTCATAAGCTTTGCACGACGACATTTTTATCGGAAGTATCACAATACATCATGTTCGGGGACGTAACATCCTCCGAGGGTCCAGAGGCTTTTGACGTGGACATTTCTTCTGGTCAAATTACTCTAGATGATGGCCCGGGGGACACGATCCAATTGAAGTTGTCTAACGAAGCTGAGGATGCGCTTCTCAGAGACAGCACTGGCAGTTTTGCGAGTTGGGTAGCCAGCTTCATACGTCGCGTTATCCAGCTACTTGAGAATCTCCCGGAAGAAGGACCGAATGGGTCAGCCGGAGGGACTACGGAAGGTATCTTGACTTCATATGA